CAAACCATTTGCGGGTTTCCGAAAAAAAGGGAACCCCAATAAGATAAGATACCCCTAATTTCGGAAACCCCCAGAAACTCCAAGCCACACCGACACTTCCTTTCGGGTTCACATCATGCTCCCTTTGTGACCCTACATACCCTAAACCCTCAACCCGAAACCCTAAACCTATGATACGGCTTACGGTGCCGAGCACAAAAGAAGGGTCTTCATGGAGAGTTGCAAAGGAAGGTAGAACAAGGCTATCACTATGGTTACCCGTAGAAGTGCCCACGAACTTCGGGTTTCGGGTCTTGTGTTTGCCACCTGTCTAGCCAGGGCTCAACGGGGCAATGCCTGTCTGACTGCACCGCTACTGCCTAACTTGAGTGCGCGGGTCTTCGATCACAAGCCGTCGGGATCAGTTTTGCTTTCTTAAGGGGTAAGGGGTGTGGTTGGGGGGCGGGGTAGGGGGCGCGGGGGCTACGGTTTGGGGGTGTGAGGGAGCAGGGAAGAATTGCGAGCTAGGGGTGGCTTGAACTGTGATGCTAAGCCCCCGCGCTCCGCGATGCGTCTTGATTCGGTTCAAGGTCTCCTGCACAGGAAGGCCTACGAAACCCGAAGCCCAAATCTTAAAGGTTTGTGGGGCTTGGGGTTTGGGTTGTTCCGGCTGGGAGCCTAGGAAGCACGAAAGTGCAGTCCAAATATGTAGTCTACTGGCTTCTGCTGGGAGGGTTATAAGTGCAGTACCTCAGGCGATAGCACTTGCATTACTGAGAACCCTACTTATAAGCACCAATGAACAAACTACCCTAAATTTTCCGCCTTACGGCGAATCTTGAGCTGCCTAAATCTGTCCGCGTCCTCAAGCAGTTTCGGCTCTAGGGTTTAGGGCCTCGAGCCAATGGCAAGGTCCCTGCTCTATATATATATATATATACATACATGCATGCATACAAATCTCTTTATATGAAAAAAAATATATATATATATATATATATACGGAACCTCCTTCAAATCCGACTCCACAAAAAACGCTCAAGATCTTATACCAAACCCCCCCCCTCTCGCTCTTTCTGCTGCTTCCACCCCCTTTTTCCCCCCTAGAACCCTCTAAACCCTCTGAACCCTCCGCAGCCTACAAGGCCTCGAGAGACTCCGAACCCAGACCTACGAAGCCCTCCGAAAGCCCTGAAAGACCTCAAAAGCCAATGAAAAAAATCGACGCCTCCTTGCACAACCTCTCAACCTTGCAAGCCCTCTCAGGCCTGCAGAAGCCCACAAACGCTCCAAACCATCTCAGTCCTTAATTTTGGCCCGGCCTCTCAGGGCCAATTTCTAAACCCCAAACCCTCTCAAGGCCTATCTACTAGATTGCAAAAACCTCTCAAGCTCAGAACAACCTAGACGAGAAGCCTAGAACCGCAAAAGCCCTAAAACCCGAAAGCCCTGACGCCCCTAAACAGGGATTCTAGATGGCCCCTTAATACTATGGTCCCTTACCTCCTTAAAAGCAGGTTCTGAAGTAATAGCCCTGGAGGTTTATAGGGTTCTACCAGGGGTTCCCCAAAAAAAAGCCCCCAAGGTGGCCTCCACCTCCGACATCGCCAGCTACGGCGCCCCCGACGCACGCGAGCGGGGGATTCAGGGGCAGAGAGGGGGCTCGAAACCCGACTTGGGGGACGCTCCAGGGCTGCGGAAAGAACACAGGCTTTGTAGGGTTGATAGGGTTTGTCAGATTTATAGGGTTTACAGGGTTTGTATAGGGTTTGGGTTAAAAGGGTTGAGAGTGTTTGGGGGTTTGTAGGGTTTAAAGGGTTTACGGGTTTATAGGGTTTGCAGGGCGCGGGTGGTATGAGCGCAAGTACACATGATCTTAGGGGTTGAGGTAAAGTTGTGTGTAGTGTTTCCTTCTTCTTTTCCATTTTTTATTTTATTTTATTTTATTTTATTATTATTACTGTCTTTTTTTTTGGGGGGGGGTTAGGGTTGAAGGCTTTGTTTGCGAGGCTGGGGCTGGGCTTGGGTCTGAGGGTCTCGAAGCCTCTGGCAGTTCTTTCGAACTGTCGGGGGAAGCAACGATTGCAGGTTGCGGGTTTATAGGACTTCGACTCTCACACTCGCTCAAGGCCGGCAAGGCATCGGTTGGTAGGTCTGACTTCCAAACACTATAGGACTTAGGGTTTAGGACTTAGGGCTTAGGGTGCATTTGCTTCGGGCTTTTTGGGTTTCCTTGCGTCTTGCAGGAGGGAGGAGTCGGGAAACAAGATCCCCATAATCATAAGCCCTACCCAATACCTCTCTTCAGCCCCCAAAGATTTTAGGAAGTAGGGTTTAGGGTGTCCGGTTTAGGGCTTTCAGAGCTATGACTCTCTTGCCGAGGCCGAAGCCCCCAAGCTGCGAAGAAGAACTTGCAACTACTAGCTGCCTCAATCCAGAAACCCTAAACCCTAAACCCTAAACCCTAAACCCTTAACCCTAAACCCTAAACCCTAAACCAAGCCAAAGAAGGCCGCAGGGCCTCCTTGCGGAAGCAGCGGTGCTCGCGCGCGAAGTTCGGCACGGCGCCGATGCAGAGGAATGCCGGCAACTGCTGCACCTGAAGGTTTAGGGGTTTAGGGTTTAGGGTTTAGGGTCTAGGGTCTAGGGTCTGGGGTTTGGGGTTTGGGTTTGGGGTTTGGGCGCTTCTACTCCGGCAATACCGAGGAAATGGTTGACATCGCGGGTGGGTGCAGCCACCAGGCGTGTAGGGAAGGTGGGGTCGAGGATCTGTTGTACATCTTTGCGAAGGTAGATATTGGTAGGGTGGGGGGTGAGGGGCTTAGGGTGCAGGGCTTAGGGTTTTTGAAGGTTGAGCTTGAGGGCTTGCACATACAGCTTAAGGGCCCCTGTTGCGCTCCAGAGTCCACTGGCCTAAGGCACCCATGACTTGAAATACGGTACATTCCGAGTGGGGCCGCCACCCACATCACCGCCCAGAGGTAGTTCAACACGTTCTCCTGGCCAGCCCCCGACGGAATAGACCCACATACCCGGTAATATACCCTGGTCCTTAAGCACGCAAGCTTGGTTTCATGAAACCCCAAAATCCCAAAGCGACTAAGCCCTAAACCCTAAACCCCAAACCCTGTTCATTGACTACCGAAGGTTACCGAAGCCTTCTACCAACAGGGTTCGGCATCTCAAGTCCAGGCATTCACTAGTCAAGCAATTCATCGAGCGCTGGAAAATACTCACCCGCCCAAAGAAGCCCAAAACATTAAGAAATTCACTCACTCGGCAACACCCTGGAAACCAAACCCTATGTCCCAAACCTGAGGGTCCCAAACCCTATGCCCCAAACCTATAGGCCCTAAACCCTATGCCACAAACCCCGAGGCCCTAAACCCCATGGCTTTGGGAGGCCTCTTGAACGGGGGTCTGATTTTGGCATCCCAGTGGCGCCATAAACCCCTAAGCCCCTAAGCACCCGCCTCTAAACCCACAACCCTGATGTCCCTAAACCCTAAACCCTAAACCCTAAACCCTAAACCCTAAACCCTAAACCCTAAACCCTAAACCCTAAAACCCTAAACCCTAAAACCCTAAACCCTAAGCATTTCGAAACAGAAGCTGGGTTCTTTGGCCACCCGCATCGTAGGCCAGCCACACTGCAGGGTAACAACGTTGGATTCCAGGGCTCTTGAAACCTGAGGTGCTTTGGGATTTAGGGTTTAGGGTTTAGGGTTTCGGGTTCAGGGCTAGCGAAAAGCTCCAGGACACCCGTCAGAGGTCCTGGTTGCGCTTCCGGGCACCCAGATATGCCACGCAAACAAAGCTGACCAACAAGGCCGTCCTGCAACGAGTGGCTTCGGGGCTTCGGGTTCAGGATTTGGGGCTTGGGGTTTAGGGTTGGGGTTTAGGGTTTAGGAATTGCATTTCTGGGTATTGGGCTGGTGTTGCAGAAATCTGGGGCTGAAAGCCCTGAACCCTAGACCCTGAATTAAACCCCTAACCCCCAGAAACCCTTCGAAACCCCCAAAACAGTCAAGAACCTCCTTCGAGTGAGGCTCGGGAAGTTGGGACCCTCCCGTTTCATGCGCTCTCCGACTTTTGCTTTCTTGCGTATTCCACCCGACAGGCCGACAGGTGTTTAATTCAGGGCGTCTAGGAATCTGAAGGATATTTTCCTTTTCTCTGCTTTGGTGGTTGAGGGCTTCCGAATGTTGCATCTCTAGGTTATGCAAATCCTTACGGGTTACATTCTGCACACCCTAAACCCTGAACGCTAAACCCAAAACCCTAGACTACTGTTGAATCGTTTTTAGGAACCCGTAAGGGGGACCTACTTCTGCAGTGCGTGGGGTCTTCGGGCCTATGGCCGCACCCGTCAACCGCTGAATAGCTAATGGCTCCACAGTTCGGTAACGTTGCGTTTCCGAACCCTTGCTCAGCCCTCATTAAACCCTAGGGTTTAGGGTTAGGATTTAGGGTTTAGGGCCTAGCTCTCTTCCCTAAACCCCGAAGCCCATGATTTCGGATTTAGGGTTGGGTGCTTGGGACGTTTCCCTAAACCCTAAACCCTAAACCCTAAACCCTAAACCCTAAACCCTAAACCCTAAACCCTAAACCCTAAACCCTAAACCCTAAACCCTAAACCCTAAACCCTAAACCCTAAACCCTAAACCCTAAACCCTAAACCCTAAACCCTAAACCCTAAACCCTAAACCCTAAACCCTAAACCCTAAACCCTAAACCCTAAACCCTAAACCCTAAACCCTACCCTTTAAACCCTAAACCCTAAACCCTAAACCCTAAACCAGGGTTGAAGCTTTAGGCTTCTAAGGGAGCTGGGACGCTGGCAGCGCCGCGCGGCCGGCGAAGGCAATGGGGTTCCTGGCTCGCGCTCGGCCCGAAAATGGACCCTGCCAAGCATCTGAAAGGCCCAAAGGGTTTAGGGTTTAGGGTTTCTACCCTAAACCCTAAACTCCAAAGTCTGAAGACCTGAACTCTAGAACCCGAAAGCCCACAAAACCTCCAGAGCCCCCTATAGGCTGAGCAGCTCAGCGAGAGACGGTGCACTCACGACCGCATTCTTGGGTTTAGGGTCGAGGGGTTGAGGTGTTTAGGGCTTAGGGCTTAGGGTTTAGGGCTTAGGGTTTAGGGGCCCCGAACCTAAAAGCGAGAGATTGTAACAAGAAGCCAGCTGTGGGCCGTCCTGAGGTTGCTCCGCACCGCGCGCAGGAAGAGCTTGCCCACCTCCCAAGGTTGAGGCTTTAAATCCTAAACCCTGCTTGCATTTTAGGGTTTAGGGTTTAGGGTTTAATGTTGACTTCGCATTAATAAACCCCCCCCCCTTCATTGATCAATCTCTCCGGTTAGGGCCTCCTCAATAATATCCGCCTAAATCCTGGTAGGTCTAGCTGTCCCGGTGCCACCACAGTGGGCTAAGTGAGCCTCTACTGCGAGCTTCTGGGGGATCACTTTTAGAAGAATATTCCGGGCTGGATTTTATAATTGTGGCGGGCTACATTATTGTGTTCTGGCAGCTGGATTTTATAATTGCGGCGGGAATTCCTAATGTGAAGTCAACATTAGGGCTCAGGGTCCTAAACCTCTAGACTCTTTTTCCTGAACCCGAGCCCCACAAGCAGCTGGCTTTCTGGCGCCTGCTTCCGCGCCGAAGCCCTGGGTGCCGCTTGGGGTGGCCCGGACCTGCAGCAGGTTTGTGTTTAGGGTTTAGGGTTGAGGGTTTAGGGTTTAGGGTTGAGGGTTTAGGTCTTGTCTTGGGGGTTCGGGTTCAGGGCAGGAGTTGAACCTGACCACTATGCCAGCATTCTGGGAACAATCCTGCCCCATCTTATTCGACCCCCACATCCTGCAGCCTGTAGGGCTTAGGGCTCAGTTCCTTGGGCAAGGTGTAGATTTTTGAGGCCAAGCGTTGAAATCAAGGTGCTTTTTTGCTTTTTTTTTTTTTTTTTGGGGGGGGGGGGGGCTTTACGTTCGCGTTTTTTGGCTAAGGCGCCAGCATGCCCAGCAGCATACGGCATGCGTGAGAGACCGTAGGCAGAGGAAGGATCACTAAACACCCCTCCGACAAAGCCCTATACACTTGGAGGCTCATAGGCACGTAGAAGCGAGTTTTAAGTATGGTAACTATACTTTAACCCCTATTTTCGGCCATATAAAACCCTACAGTTTCGTACCCGTGAACCTCCAACCTCCAAGTACATTGAGACAGGGCTGCAGTGGCTGGAACTCAGCCGCGCACGTCAGCACTCCGGACAAGCTTGGCTGGGCCTGAAGCCAACTGGCCATAGTGGAAAAGATTGGGGATGTCTTGCTGAAGTGCCCACGAAGCAATACTTCACATCACGATGCTATACTGTCGTGTTCTGGTGCGTTGTGTCAGCCGCCTCGCGGCAGGCAGCGTCCCAAGCATCACAGATCCGCGCGACCTGCTGCCCGGTCACCCTAAACCCCTAAACCCCTAAACCCCTAAACCCCTAAACCCCTAAACCCCTAAACCCCTAAACCCCTAAACCCCTAAACCCCTAAACCCTAAACCCCGAAACCCTAAACCTTTACATCTTTAAGCCCCTTTTTGAACCTTGGACTGCTGCGGTGCCAGCCTGACATGCGAAGGAAAGAACCCCTAAATCCCCAAAACGTTGACATCTTCCCAAACCCTTCTTGCATCTACCAGGCCGCCGGGAACAAAAAAAAGTAGACTAGGGTTTAGGGTTTAGGGTTTAGGGTTTAGGGTTTAGGGTTTAGGGTTTAGGGTTTAGGGTTTAGGGTTTAGGGTTTAGGGTTTAGGGTTTAGGGTTTAGGGTATTGGGGCTTGGCTGGTTGCCACACGCTACCCTCATTTCCAAAAGTGGCCTGGAGGTGAAAATCTTCCTAAACCCTAAACCCTAAACCCTAAACCCTAAACCCTAAACCCTAAACCCTAAACCCTAAACCCTAAACCCTAAACCCTAAACCCTAAACCCTAAACTAACGCTAAACCCTAAACCCTAAACCCTAAACCCCAAACTAAACCTAAACCCTAAACCGGTAGCGGCGCGACAGTCGGACAGGTTCCACAACGAGCCTGGCCCTCCTCAGCAAAGTCTGCGTTGGTGATGCGGATCATGAACCTTCGCGCCGCTACCGGCTTAGGGTTTAGGGTTTAGGGTTTAGGGTTTAGGGTTTAGGGTTTAGGGTTTAGGGTTTAGGGTTAGTGTAGGGTTTCGGGTTTCGGGTTTCGGGTTTAGGGTTCAGGGACCATCTATCTTGAGTTTCAGCTGCCCAGGGAGATCGGCTAGTCACACCCTCGGACAAAGCGCAACTTTTCAAAAACAAAAACGCTCGAGTCATCAGCGGCCTGCAAGCCCTAAACCCTAAACCCTGAACCCTACACCTTAAACCCTAAACCCAAAACCCTAAACACTAAACCCTAAACCCTAAACCCTAAACCCTAGAATGTCTCCCGAGCTCCAAACACGTTTGTGGCTTCTCAAGTCCCTACAAAAAAACCCTCTTGGAGGTCCCGACTCCGCCGGGTTCACGCCCGAGGGGCTTGGGAACCTGTTGGGTGGTTTTGGGGGTTGGGGTTTAGGGTTTAGAGGGTTTAGAGGGTTTATAGGGTTTATAGGGTTTAGGGCTTAGGGTTTAGGGTTCAGGGTTCAGGGTTCAGGGTTTAGGGTTTAGGGTTTAGGGGCTAGGGCTTAAGGAGGTTTAGGGTTGAGGGTTTATGATTTGAGGTTTGGGGTTGAGGGTTTTTGGGTGCGAGGCTTGGGGTTGCCCAGGGTTAGGGCTTGAGGTTTGGGGTTTTTAAGGTTCAGGGTTTAGGGTTTAGGGTTTAGGGTTTGGGGTGTGGGGGTTCGGGCTTAGGGTTTGGGTTGCGGGTTCGAGTTCAGGGTTTAGGACAACAGCTTTCTTTGATTGCCTCCAGCACAACAGAGCAAGTCGTAGGTTTGAGCTCTCACTGAGGCTCTGGGAAAAGGAGAGGCAGCGAAGTGCTTTCTTAGGGTGCCGGGGTGGGGTCTTGGAGAAGAGGCACTGGCTCAGGGAAGTCCTGAAACAACAAAAGTGCCCCATGGTAAGAGAAGCACACGCGGACCAACAATCGCGTCAGCTGGACCCGATGTCCTGAAAATGCTGCAGGGCTGCATCTGCTTTTCCTGGGGGGGGCATCACGGCCCTGAACTCTGAAGCCCGGGACCCTACCTTAAGAACCGACTTTTTGAGGAGTACTCACGAATCCAGAAAGAGAATCGGTTCTGGGGTTTAGGTGGTCCCTACGGAATCTGAAGCACCTGCACAAGCCGGGCCTTTCACCCAACAGCCGTTGCTCATCAAAGTTGGAACGAAACCCACACCTCCACCCACACCTGTACACAGCGAATCTGGAGTGGCTAGGGTTATGGGATGGGGCCCCATGGTTACGAGTTCGGGCTCCATAGCTAAGGTGAACCCTTGATTTGCTATATAACTCCCGACCCCTAAGCCCGAAATCCCAAACCATAAGCCCTATTTTTTGCAACCACCCTAAACCCTAAACCCTAAACCCTAAACCCCGCACTGCCAGGGCCCCGAGCCAAAGTAGCACACCCGGCCCTTGGCCAGGACGAGCAGCCTGTCGAACCTCGGCCAAAGGGCTTTCGGGTTTAGGGCTTAGTTTAGGGTTTAGGGTTTAGGGTTTGGGGTTTGGGGTTTGGGGTTTGGGGTTTGGGGTTTGGGGTTTGGGGGTTTGGGGTTTAGGGTTTAGGCTGTCGGGTTTAGGGCCCAGGGTTCAAACGTAGCAAAAACAAAGAAACTAATGTTGGACTGACTTTAGTATAAGGAGGGTCTATAATCACAAGTTTCGAAAATTTATTCTGCGAACCGAGTTTGTTCAGGGCACCCGCTATTATCACAAGTTTTTTCCGGACGTTTTTTTGTTTTAAGGGTTTGTGTTTTGGGTTAAGAGCTTTCGCAGTAAGGCTTGAAGCCCTGAGGGCTTGGGCTCCAGGAACCTTAAAGAGCCAGAGCGCGGAGAATCCAGAAATCTAAGCCCGGCCAGTCCCATGTAAAGCCTAATGGAAATTCATTACGAAACGAGGCCCCAAACAAATTTTGTGATAGGTAGCCCACGGGCCGGTCAGACTGTTTTTAGTAAGTTTGTCTGGCTACCCTCTATAATACCAAGTTTTTTTCGGATGAGTTCTTTTTTGAGTGTGTTTTGGGTTAAGGGCTTACGCAGTAAGGCTTGAGGCCCTGAGGGCCTTGGGCTCCAGGAACCTTAAAGAGCCAGAGCGCGGAGAATCCAGAAATCTAAGCCCGGCCAGTCCCATGTAAAGCCTAATGGAAATTCATTACGAAACGAGGCCCCAAACAAATTTTGTGATAGGTAGCCCACGGGCCGGTCAGACTGTTTTTAGGAAGTTTGTCTGGCTACCCTCTATAATACCAAGTTTTTTTTCGGATGCTTTTTTTTGAGGGTTTGTGTTTTGGGTTAAGGGCTTACGCAGTAAGGCTTGAGGCCCTGAGGGCCTTGGGCTCCAGGAATCTTAAAGGCTGGAAAGCTTCAGGCCTTGAGGTCCTATATAAAGGCTTGAGGCCCTGAGGGCGGTCCCCCCCCCCCCCAATTTGTTTGGGGGGGTCGCCGGGCCACGCGTTTATAGAGGGTCCAAATTTGTTGGGGGGGGGGGGGGGGGGGGGGGGGGGGGGGGGGGGGGGGTCCCCCATACTAAAGACAGTGCAACATTAAACACAACGAGGGCACTGTGAGTGATGCGTCATGGGTATGGGCGACCTTACCCTAAACCCTCTAAATCCTAAACCCTACAGTAATTCCTAAAAACCGCAACCCTGAGATGGACGCATTCCCCTCACTCTGCCAGGTTTAGGGTTTAGGGTTCACACTCCGTAGATGAGGGCGGGACTGCTGAAACACATAGGACGACGGCTGATGGATGGTGCCTCAGTGGGGTCGCTTCTTTGGGAAGCTGCAGGAGACTTTGCAGGCGGGCACACACGTCTGATTCTGAAGTTCTTAGCTGTCACTAGCGCACTGACCTGAACCCTGCAAAATGCGAGAAGCCCTCTTTGAAGGGAATGAATGAATCGGGGAATTAGGATCCCTGCTTGATCCCTTGAAGGGTTCTAAGAGGGGACTTAGTATTTATTAAGGCACCGAATTCTCTCCATCCCCTTCTGAGAAAAGTCCGCCCCAGCACGTAAAATTGCGGACAGCGGCAGAGGGCCGCTAGGTTGTTGGCCAGAGCGATGCCCGTTAGAAGCTCAACGATCGCCTCGCGGCTTGTTTTTTTGGGTCACCCGCGCTGCGGCGGTATAGGGTTTAGGATTTAGGGTGTTTAGGGTTTAGGGACAGGAAAAAAGGGACGGCAGCCACAACAACTAAAACTCGCGTGGATGGACAATCAGATCACGTGTCTAGGGGCCCCTAAACCCTAAACCCTAAAAGGGACCAAGGAGGGGGCTGTTCCTTTCTAAGCGGGCCTTGGCGGATGTTCCCTAAACCCAAAACCCAAAACCCGAAAACATAAACCCAAAGCCACCTCGAGGCTCTGAACCCTAAGACCCGACCCTGGTACCTTGTGAACCATAGCTTCACCCTCAGCTAAACTTTCGTGAATCCTCGCTGCTAAACCCTAAACCCCAAGCCCGAAAACCTAAACCCTAAACCGTAAACTCTAAACAACCCAAACCCCAAACCCCAAACCCTAAACCCTAAAACGCCCTATGTAAACACTAAACCCCTAAACGCCTAACCCGCAACCCCCCAAACCCCCCCCCCCCCCCCCCCCCCCCCCAGAAGTTGCTGGGTGCCTCCGCCGCTTTGGAATCGAGACCCGAGGTCGGTTCGTCCAGGACCTGGGCATTGGTCAGAACGGGAGGTTTTTTTTTAAAGGTTTAGGGTTTAGGGTTTAGGGGTTTAGGGGTTTAGGGGTTTAGGGTTTAGGGTTTAGGGGTTTAGGGGTTTGGGGTTTAGGGGTTTAGGGGTTTAGGGGTGTAGGGGTTTGGGGGTTTAGGGGTTTGGGGTGTGGGGATCGTGGATTTACCACAAGAGAATTCCACATGCACACACCACCCTTGTGCTTTAGGGGCACAGTAAGGAAAAACAGTGCTTCAGGCACAAGACGTCTTATCCCTAAGAGCATGTAGTTCGAACCCAAGTGGTTACCCTAAACCGAGAACCCTAAACCCTAAACCCTAAACCCTTTGAAGACCCTAAGCCCTAAACCTGGAAGAACATGGTCCACGTGCTGCCCTCGAGCTTCTAAGGACCCTGCCAAGACGGATGGTCTCTTTAACAACTCGACAGCCTCAGCACATCTCAGCATGGTGTGTGGGCCTGTCTGTCTCAGGCTCACAAGGCTAAACCCTAAACCCTAAACCCTAAACCCTTAAGGGCTTTCGGGTTTAAGGGTTCAGTCTGGGGCTTTCTTCGTCTCACCATCCCTAATGCTCATCCATCACTTAGTGGCCCTCTCGCAGCGCAGCAGAGAACGGAGGGCGTGGCCAAACTCACACGCCGGCGCTGGCCTCCCGACCTGCTCAGGCGGATGAACTGCGCCCCATGACTTCTCATGCGCCGAGGAATTCGAGCCAATCACCAAGACCAGGTGCGCAAGCCGAGAAAGAAGCCCCAACCCCCAGAGTTGAGGAAGGCTCGCGACTTTTGAGTTGAGATGTTGAGACGTCATAGGTAGCCATAAACCCAGGCTGCAACAGACTTTTTGCATCGTGATGGAATGCAAGGAAACCATTAAAACCCTTTGGGGGGACTGCTGGGATGCCGGCACCCCTCGTATGACGAGATCATCTCCGACCTGCCATGATGCGTTAGGGTACGGGCTCAGGGCTTCGCAAGACCCTCGACACCAGAAGCCCCGAACCCATAGCCCTAAACCCTAAATCCTTTGGCCTAAACCCTAAACCCTAAACCCTAAACCCTAAACCTTTGGATGCTTTCCCCCGCCTTGACGTCGTGGCACGCATCCAGCCCACACTCTTCAAGGAGATGTTGGACCTAAGCCGGTGAGGCATTTGAGGAAGTGTGGGTGCCTTCTGAAGCAAAACAATGAAGGTTTAGGGTTTAGGGTTTAGGGTTGAGGGGTTTAGGGCTGTTTGGGGGTCAGGCTTCAGGGTTTAGGTTTTTTGGCGGTTTAAGGCTTAGGGAAAGAGTCCCGATGCCTACAGTGCCAGCACCATCTCAGCCACGCACCCCCTTTGCCCGCTCGGCGCGTGTTGCGCGACCTGCAGCCCTCAACCCTAAACCCGAAACCCACAATTCAGGGTCTCGGGGGGAGCTTTTGCATGTAGCTGGGTGCAGGGCTGGAACCCTGAAGTGGTTTCGTCGCTTGCTCTCGAATCTCTAGGGTCTTGGGAGCATGAAAGCACAAAATCCCTAAATTGTCAATCCTAAACCCCCCTCATGAACTTCCTGGCAACAAGCACCGCACCCCAGCCTTGGTACAGGCTGGCCGCAAACTGCAGGGTCTCCCTCACCTGTCAGGTTTCAAGGTTTAGGGTTTAGGGTTCAGGGCTTGGGGTTAAGGGTTTACGTTTAGGGTTGAGGGTTTCAGTGAATTCCTATATGCTCTGCCAAGAGGGCACAAGCGAATTCTCGACATGAGCCTGTGGCTCTTGGAAAAACTTGGCCAACTTGTTTAGGCTCCGAGCCTGCAGGGGGGGTTTCAGGGCTGTGCAAGATGTCATGCGAGGTTTCGCAACCCAGATAGCAGAAACCTCCGCCCTAAACCCCTGAGCCCAAACCCCCTATTTAAACCCCCTAAACCCTAAACCCCAAACCCTAAACCCCAAACCCTAAACCCTAACCCCCCCCCCCCCCGCCCCCCGAAGGGCCGTCAGCGAGGGAGCGCAGGCGTCGCTCTGCGCCACATAGGCACAGCTGGAGCGGAAGAGCGTGGCGTCCTCAGAACTTTCGGCCGCGAGGGAGGGGGGGGGGGGTGGAAGGACACAAAGTTCAGAAGGACATTGAGGCGTTGAGGGTTTAGAGTTTAGGGTTTAGGCTTAGGGTTCAGGGCTTAGGGCCGTTTAGGGCTTAAGGTTTTTTTTTGGCCGCCTGGCTGATGTTTTAGGGTTTCGGGTTTTGGGTTTAGGCGCCAGGGGGACATTGGACATTGTTTCCAAGTCAAGTGACCCCTGTGAGGCTCGTGCTGGGCCCCGAGACCTTGCGATCCGGTTTGGGGTTTAGGGTTGAGGGTTGCGGGTTTAGGGTTAGGGTTTAGGGTTTAAGATTTGTTCAGAATCCCCAGCATTTGGGGCTAAGGATCATGGACCTTCCAAAACGAGAGTCATGCAGCAAAAAGGTTTTGCTTTTTAACTTCTTGCATGGCTCTCCCTGATCAGCTGGGAGAGGCTTTATCGCCTGCTTGGTGGGCCTGCCGGTTTATTTTTCCCCTGATGCCCTACATCATCAATGCCCCCAACCCTACACCCTTGTGCACCAGTTCCGTAAGGCTCTGACCAACTCCTGCCCATTGAGCAGCACCTGCAGACTGCAGGAATCTTTATCGGAATCCTTGGGGCTTAGAGTGTGGTGTTTGGGTACCAGGGTGTTGGCTGCAGCCGTGTCTACAATGGGGCCTTCTTTTTTTCCATCTCTGCAGCTACGGCTGCGAGCTGTGATGGCGTGGGCTGGCTAGGCTATAGGCTGCTGAATACGCGGGCGTGGGCTGAAAGCTATGGTTCACTGCTAATGGCGCCTGCCGGCTACCACGCTCATAGGATAGGTATGGTTGCGTTCATGCCTAGCTTTTAAGCCTCGCAACCCTAGAGGGGCTGCAAAATTAAACAGCGGTTCTTTTTCTTGGGTTGCTTGGAGGATGCGGTTGTAACAAATGTGAAAGTGCCCTGCTAGATTAGGATTGCAAGGCTGCTCGGGGAGGTGTACAAAGACGGTCTAAGCCGCAGCGAAGATGCTGGGCCATTCATGCGCGCGAAAAGAAAACACGCGATGCTGGGCTATGCGGGCTGGAGATATCCCGAAACTGCTACCAGGATGGCTCACAAAGAACACAGATCCCGCCGAGAAAGAAAGAATGGTAGGAGCGGCTTGCGCTTCGCTCAAACTGAGGGCTTAACAAAAACCTGGCAAGAGCACCCTCGACGAAGGGCCTGACCGGCTCTTCTTCCAGGGCGTGGCTCCAGCGCGACCTTTGCTTCGAACTCAAAGACACAAGCGAAGAAGGTCGGTTCCTACCTTTACGTCGAATTCGAAAAAAAGCAGGCAAAGAAGGAACCCGCAACTTAATGCATCAATGCGAGAAACCCCTTTTCCTCGTAATAAGTGGCAAAATGAAGTAGTATATATATATATATATCCCCCCTGCCATTACTTCAAGTCTGGGCCCGGAAACCCGCGATGGCTGGGAACCCTAAACCCTAAACCCTAAACCCTAAACCCTGGTGCCGGGTGGTTCCCAGAACTGCCGAGCCACGCTGTCCAGCAGTGTGGTCTTCCCTGCTCCCGATCCACCTATGATGGCCAGGACCTGGCGTTTCTAGGGTTTAGGGTTTAGGGTTGCTGAATGACAAAACTATACTCCCCTTAGAACCTTAATACAAATAATATTGTTAGTACCCTCTGGGGTTTTATATGAACAAAAAGAATTCCCAAGAAGGATATATATATATATATATATAGAAAAAGCACATTACTTCACAGGCTATAATTATGGCTATGGCCCAAGACTTGTCGCGGGTTCCGAGTTTTTGTTTTCGAGTTTTGGCAATATTTACCACAAGGTGCCTACCTAAAGTCTCAGGCCAGGTTGAACTGAAACCAAGCGCTCGTCTTCAGGAATGTATGATGAAACGCTCCTCCAAATAATGACGTGGCTCACATGGCCTCTCCACTGCGAACGTGCGCAGTGATGTTCTTGAGGAGGTCCTGCTTTACTGTTACACCGCAGGTTCAGGGGCCGCATGCGTCGGTTACTTCCATGAACTGATATGCCACGGGATTGGCAACAGCATGTTGCAAGCATGTTGTCATGCACATGCTGTGGGCGCAGCATCGCACAGCGCAAAAGAATGTCCGCAATCCAACACCACTCAAGGTTCTGGTCCTAAACACAAACCTGGACAACCTTGTTGCTCCTTGCAGGCTTTCTTTGGTTGCGCACCTTTTCCACCATCCCCACACCTAGCTCGATCTTCGTAAACGTTCAACACAAGTCCGCTCTCCTTGAAACCTGCCAAGGAGCCCAAACCTGAAAGTATCCTGACTTCGTTTTCTGCTGCACACAAATGCGCTCGGGCTCCTTCCGCGCGCCCCTGGGCAAGCTCGGGCATTAAGAATCCCAACTCAATGGTCTTGTCAAGGCTGAGCCATCCAAAGGTTGCTTTGAGATGCAGTGGGCGTCTAGGCACACTCAGAAATAGGACCATGATTCATGATCATGATCCCAAACCCGGCCTGCTCTCCACAAAGAAGTCCAAGTTGCCTTGGGTTGTCGTAAGAAGGCACGTCTCACAGGCTGTGCTGCTTCATCGTCGTATCACCTAAGTCTATAGGGCGGTAACAAGTCCAAACGCTTGTCACCTTAAAGCACATGTCCTGACAAGCGATCCCAGGTTGCAAGTGTTTTTTTCCAGGGGGCTAGAACCAAACCACTCTTGGTTGAAACATGCTGCAACGCAAGCTGCTGAATGCTTAAATGATGACCTCTGGCTCCCAAATCGCAGCAGAATGCGTTTTCATATTCGAGGATGAAGCGCGCGCAACTGTCGTCACGGAGCCTTGTTTGTTGTTCACGTCTGAAGAGAGCCACGACGATGAAACGCGTGGGGATGTGAATAAAAACAAGACCGTCAAAAAAGCGAGCGAGCGAAAGAGACAGAGAGAGCGGGAGAGAGAGAGAGAGAGAGACAACATGATACTGATACTTCGGATCTCATGCCGTGCACTACGTCCCCTTTGCTCGCCGTGTAGGTGACACGCGTCTGTCGCAGCCCCTGCAATTGGAGACTATTGCTCTTGCAAATGCCATCGACAAAACGCAGCCAGAGAAAAATATTCCTGAATGCGTTAGGACAACGATCGAAAGTCGCAAACATTCTAATTTTCTGCTGACTGGAAAAGCCCGCTTTGCAGCAAGGTTGCGTATCCGCAATTCTGCGTCCTGTGCGCAACACCAACAAACTCGGCACCTGCTCCGCAAACCTCCCGTGTGGCTTTATGGCACTGGAAACCGACGTGTGAAAAACGCCAAACCGTCCCAAGCTAAACGTATAAGCCCGGATGAAAACCCCTGATCCCTTGGCGACTCCTCAGCCACGAAGCTTGATGAACTGGGCCGCCTGAGTTGTGCATCTTGCGCTTGCAATATGGAACGCAACCTCCCTTCGCAACCATCGGAAGCAAAGCACGTGCGGCCCTCATATTCATCATGTCCACCAGTAAGCTGCCGACTTCGTGCCGTAGCCTTTTCCGGCCTGAGAAACAACGTTGCGTTTTTGGGGCGTGCCATCGCTCAAGTCCTACACATGCATGAGTATAGCCAGCAAACTTTACGTACTTGTTGCTACGGATTCTCGTGCCTACGCAGGCCTATATGGTGCAGCCGGTAGCCGTTTCAGTAGCCATAGCCGTAGTAGCAACAGCAGCAACAGCAGCAACCACAGCAGCAGGCCGCAGCCATCGACAGGTCAGTGCAAAGCGATACGCAGCGGCAACGCGGCTCGCTGTTCGATCATCTGGGCATGACTGTGCGACGTTCTGCTTTCCACCGACACGGCGCTCCCCGACACCAACGGCCAAAGGAATTCAGAGCATCGTGTGCGCGCACTCGTGCCACCGGAAGGTTCCCAGACTGCTCTGCGGCAGGCGCTACAAGCATTCACAAGGCCACACCGTTGAAGGTTGCGGCCGAGTTATAGTTGTGTGATATGGAACCGTCAAAGCTTCGCACAAGCGAACCAGCACGGCCACCCGTCCGACATGCCGTTGCTAAGCTGGTCGTCCTGCTTTGTTCTGCCTTGGCCCAGATCCGTCCCCTTCGTTTCTCGTTTTCTTGAGGTTTTCCGAGAAACCCTTGCGTTGGGGTTTCGAGCTGTTTTTGGCTGCAGGAACCGTACTGCCGCACCGAGATTTGTGAAATCTAAGCATGGAGTTGCGCTACATCAACACAGCGACAGCCTGCAAAGGCAATGATAAAATATTTTCCAACACAACCATGCGCCTGCTCGGCTTCAAGCGCACAGGCTCCATGAGCATGCACAGCGAATGCACCGATATGCACCGATGCAACATCCCCAACAAAAGCATCTCCTGCTGGTGCCCAGCTTGCTACCGGCACCACTAGCGCATGGCAACGTGCCTTGTGCTAGCGCAGTGCGGCGCAGGCATTTGCAGGTGACCATGTGCATCCGTGAGCCTACGCCTCTTGCAAACAATCGTTACGCCCCTGCGGAAAAAGCATCAGGCTCCGCACTAGGCTTCCACCCCCATACCATGAATGGGATGAGAAAAAAATGCTGTTGCACGTGGCGTGGGGAAGTGGCGATACTAATTCGATCGACCTGCTGAGAACTGACGCAATACCTCGATACAGCTGGGGCTGTTGGCTGCCTTCAGCTGTGGCCAACGAGATGGCTGGGTGATCTCAACCTTCGTTTGGTGGTCGAATTCGGACATTGTTTGACCTCAGCTGGGTTGTTCAAGCCCTTTCAAAGCAATCGCCAATGTTCCATTGCTCCGCTCCCTTTCTCCGTAGATCTCTGTAGGAATTACGGGCTCTGCACAGCGCGCAACGGCGCGAAATCGTTTTCGGACTTCGTCCCACCTGCGATATGCGATATGCCCCAAGGTTTGCCCCCTCGCTGCATGCTGGCAGATCCCATCTGCATTGCTTTTGAAGAAGCACGGATCTGTTCGCTGCTCCATGCATTCCAGCCGCCTAGACTTCGGATATGTACAAACTTGCACACTTGCCCGAGGAAACCCTGTCCTAAAGCGTACAATACACCTGAAAAACAATAGAAGCAAACTATAGCAAACCCCTAGGAAAGTCCACTACTGTAAAGCAAACGTGCGCAACACATGAAAGTCGCCGAAAGTCCAGAAGGCAAACGTCGTGTTGCCTCGTCGATGGCTTCGAGAGGCGGCGTCGGCATGGCTCTATGCACACTCTATCTTCAACACATTTCACGCAACGATCTCTGGCAACTGGGGATCTAGGGTTTAGGATTTAGAGTTTTGGGTTTGGCATTTTGGTGCTTGTGGCGGGGGGAGGGCGCGTTGTTCTTCTGTTCATGACAATTACGGCGCTTGTCAAATCTGCAAAGTTGCCTGACAAGTCGCCGCTGACATGTTAGACCACAAAGCTTTGATTGGCCAAGCAGCAAGCATCATCATGATGGACCCAGCAGAAAAAATCACAGACATTCCACATACCACATACGCCACTCATCTAATATCTGCCATCAACCACACCAGCAGCAGCAACATGCACCAAGTCGCGAACCCACCATGTGTGCCTGAAATCGTAAGCCGCTGCAACACAAGTACAGAAACAATGCGCGATCAGCCCTCCCGATTTGAATCAAAAAACGCACATCGGAAAAGACCAAGCCTATGTCGGGCCCGGGGGGGGGAATAAAACAACACCGGCAACGCGACTCAGCTGAGACACACGCGGCTCTGCCACGCCAGCACCTACGCAACTGCGTGTGGCTCTGCGACGCCGACAACCCCCACTTCTCCGTGAAGCGCCTCACGTCGGCGCGTCTCGCGCCACCAGCTCCGAGCTCTTGAGCGTTGTGTGAGCAACCCGTCGACGTCGGGTCGGGTTCATGTCCTTTTGGACCAAGTACGAGTAACTGAGTAACTTGGTTCGAACTTGGGGCGCGGTGCACGATGTGCCCGGCGGTGCGCAGCGGCGCGGCGGGTGAGGAATGTCCCGCCGGCTCCATCCGGCTCCCACGAACCACAGCCCCGCACGGCCCCCGCGCGGCGGCACTCGTGCGGACCCAGTGGTCGGCGGTCTGCGTGCCCATGCCCAGTGCAGTGCGTCTTGGAAATCAGCCTGCCGCGCCAAATGCTTCAGGCAGCGCGTCACCGGGTCCTCGACGTGCTCCCAGCGCGGGGCTCGCGGTAGTCGCCTTTTCATGCATGGTCAATGATATTCAGCGCGTGACAGCTTTCCCTTGGCGAGGGAGTCATGAGGGTCATTTTGACTAGGAGGGTGGTGGGCAAGCCCGCAGCCCCGAACTGCCCTACTCACTTGCGCAGGCAGTCAGCCTGCGCCTGCCATGCCACTCCAGGCCCACCCTGATATACATCACTGAACTAGCTCATACTCAAACACAAGTCAATATTTTAAATGCTATGGACCAGCGGGCAGTGACCCAGGGACATGATAAGATCACACTGTATTCCCCGCCCGAACCATATCAGCACTTTCCAATCAGCCTTAAACAGAACCCTTGTCCTGACGGAAAATGATAACATCCATAAAAAAAACGCAATCTACCTTGGTTTCTGTTAATCCAATGTTTGTCTCCGCATCTCCTTTGCGAAGCGGAATGCGAAAGCGGGTCTGGCGTACCTAACGTTTCCGGCCCAGCGCCAGTTGAAAATCAGTCACCTTTGTGCAAGATCGAACTGGCTAGCTGGCCGGGGGGGTAGCGCCGAGGGAAAGCTGCTTTAACTTCCATGTGGATGGCATGCAGTTCTGGCGTTGATTCCGAGGCCTTTGACATCAATAGGTCACATTATGTCTATGGCCAACTGTGCATAGAATTTCTCCCGAAACAGCATTGCCACATCAACGCCGGAACATAATTTAAATATGCCACCAAATCCTATAACTAATTAGGCGCCAGCACTCAGATCCTCGTGCAGGGCGAGCTTGGCCAACAAAGCTCCATCCACCACCTGGGGGTGTGGGTTTAGGGTTTAGGGTTTAGGGTTTAGGGTTTAGGGTTTAGGGTTTAGGGTTTAGGGTTTAGGGTTTAGGGTTTAGGGTTTAGGGTTTAGGGTTTAGGGTTTAGGGTTTAGGGTTTAGGGGTCCGGTGGTCCCAGTTGTGCTGTATTTGTGTCTATGCCTAGAAGTAGAAGGAGTTTTTTTCTTTTTTTTTGGGTCTAGATCGGGGGGGTCCCTTGAGCATATGCACCTCGGCTTCCATGGCGACGCACACCTCCTTGATGATGCCGTCCCCCGGGGCCCTCACCAGGACCTCTTCTGCTTTTGCTACCCCTGGCAGAACCCCAGGTTGGCTGTTTTTATAGGGCATGTCCTTAGAGACTTCGCCTTTGAATCAGAAGACTAGAGAATACCCAAAGGCTCCTATGTAGTAGTATACAAGAAGCCCCTATCACTAACCCAAAAAGAACTACATTGGAGCCTTTAGGTAAGCAACAACAACCACTGCTAGACGATGGTAGCTTTGGAAGTGCCAGGAGCCTCCATCTTCATGGCCACGACCGTGAAAAGCAGGTCGTCCTTCTTCACCTTTCCGGTTTTGGGCGGGTTTACGAAAATAAGGGGGGGTACCTTATTAAGGTCCTTCTTCTAAGGGAATCCTACTCTCTTTTGTGGAGGTCTACAGGAGTAGGGGACCCCGAAATTCGTAAACCACCATTCCTGAAAACTCAGGCAATCCAGGGGTCCCCTTCATTCACACCACAAAGCGTGACAGCCCTCCTTGTGCTTGTACGCTTCCTCCAGTCCTTGTGATTATACAAACTATATATTACAACGCTTACTTTAAGGATCCTCAACATACTATAATCGTAAATAGAAGGATCCCCAGCATAGACGATAGTTCTCACTATACGGAAAATCTTATTCTCCTGAGGATGAGGATCGTCGAAGATGTCGAAATCCCCGCCAGAAACATTGATATTACTGATTATACGGACGCCTCATCTTCGGAACCCCGTCCACCCCCAAACTCTAAACCCTAAACCCTAAACCCTAAACCCCAACCCCCCCCAGCGGACCTCGGCGCCTTCCTTGACCGCCGTGCGGATGACTCCGGGCAGAGGGCAGGCCACGTGGGCGTTGTTCGCAGGGTCCGCCATGGGACCTGAAGAAAGACACGTGACGAGGCTCACGAAACATGACGCCCACGAGCTGTTGCTCTAATGTAAGCACGTAGCAAAAAAAAACAACTTCGGGTTCCTTGTTACTTTTAAGCCTCGGGTAGAGATGCTTGTTTACCAAAGACATGGGACCTGCGTAGGACAGGGTCTTCGGCGGGTCTTTGATGCAGACCTGGTAGGTGACGCCGTCCACGAGCCACTCGCAAGTTCTCATGTCCCGCTCCAAAGGCCCCACGCGGGTCAGCTGGATGCTGGCCGTCGTCTTCCTTGGGGACGAGTTATGAACACTAAAAGGGTTTATGGCTCCTGTACCGTAATAGGACTTATAGTAGTATAGGGTATAGGGTATAGGACCCCAAATTTCGGGTCCTTAATAGTAATTATAGTAGTATAGGGTATGGGACCCCAACTTTACTTAATAGGAATTATAGTAGTATAGGGTATGGGACCCCAATTTTAGGATTCTTTTCCCCAAGGCTCGACAGAGACGCGTCGTCCTTGGCCTCAGCTTCCAGGAGGTTGGGCCCGGGAACTTCGAACTCGATGGCCTCATTCCTTTGGGCAAAGGAGCTTCTACAAAAAGGGTTTAGGGTTTAGGGTTTAGGGTTTGGGGTCTCATTCCTTGGGCACCAAATGAATCCCCAAAAAATTGAGGTCGTATACCCTTTACTCCTATACTATACTCTGAACCAAAAACACTTTTAGGGCTGAGGTCATATACACTATACTACTCTATGATTCCTACGCATGGTATATGAACCATATAAACCCTTTGAGGGCTCGTTTGAAGCCTAAACCCTAAACCCTAAACCCTAAACCCTAAACCCTAAACCCTAAACCCTAAACCCTAAACCCGAGGTTCACATTCAAGCCGTAGAAGAAGGCCGGGGTTGGCAAACACGTGGCCAGAGGCCCTGCTTTGGCCAGGTGCTTCATGTAGTCCCGGAACACCCCTGGGTACCTATACTTTCCCTTAGAAGCTTAATAAAAAATAATATGTTCATTGCCCTCTTCGGTTCTTTATATAAACAAGATTCAAAAAAATAGTTCCCAAGGGGGAGATGGGTACATCAGGAAGGCATTCAGGTCCTCACTTGATGCCTCCATGCCAAACTCCTCCTTCATGGCCGCCTTCACCTTCTCGAAATCCTCCGGAGCGAGGGTGTCGCCCGGTCTGCCTTCCATAGGCTTCAGTTGACCTTTCAGAATGGCTGCTTGCATTCGCTTGGGAAAGCCGAAGTGGGGCGTCCCCATCTCGCCTCAGGGTTTTCAAGGCCAAGACGCTCACATGGCCACGTGTACGGCCCCCATGACTTGGATCATGTGGCAGAATGGAAACGTGGAAATGTTAATGTTTTAATGCTCGAAAACGTGGCCGGGTAGGTCTTAGGAGGGGGGGTGCGCTAGCAGATACATGTACTTCGTGAGCCCAGATATATGTATGTACATAGACATAGAGCGTATGTGTGTGCGTGTGTGCGTGCGTGTCTTTGTTTGATATGCACTGTTTTTTTGCAGTACGGGCAAGATTTGCGCCAGAGAGCGCAGGGCCGGACGTAAGGGAACGCAAAATGGCCCTGTGGCGCTTTCGCGAAAAGATTGTTAATGAGGTCCTAGCGAAGCATGCGCATTTCTTCAGATGTGTATTTACATAGCATGACAAGAAAACACGTGAGATACACATGGAAAATGCCACATCGTAGCTACGTACATGCACACACAGAGGCTTCCCATTTGCTGAAATTCGCATATGCGTACCATGGCTTGGGTCCTGCTGCGGTAGAAGCAAGAGAACGGTTGTTAAGGTTCGGACTTGTGGTTCAGGATTTTCAGGAGCTGGGTTCTAGGGCTTCGGGATTTTGTGCTCGCAGTTAAAGAGCCCTTGAGGATAAGAGTTTGGGACTCCTTTGGCCCCCAGGCCGCCTCGGGCAAGCTCAATGGCGCTTTGTGGCCACTGCAGGGACTGCATCTTTGGGATGTTGTCGAAGTCCTGAGTTCCACCGAGAATGTGGTCCCTTTTGGGGTTTAGGGTTTAGGGTTTAGGGTTTTAGGGCGTTTGTTGCCTAAGCTTTGAGGGTTGGAGGGTTGAGGGTTTAGGGCCCTAGAACAGGGACAAAACGTAAACCTACAATGACATCTTGCAACATCCCTCGTTACATAAACTTCTCCAATCCCAAGGCAACCTTGTGCAACCCAAGCACATCCACTGAATAAACTTAGGCTAGACCTCTATAGCCTTCTGCAAACTCTCCGTCGCCCCTCTTCAGGGAGCGGGTTCTCCGAGAAACGGACGGCTCAATGCCTTGCTTCACGAGGAAGAGCGCGATGTCTCCAACTGCCTTTGAGGAAGGGGTGACCTTCACCTGAGTCTGAGCTTGAGTCTACCAAAAAAGAAAGCAGTCGGTGCTATGAATCGTTTCAGGTACTCAAAAAACCAAAGTATCCTGGTGCTTTCAAAAAAGCAACGTGCCATGGTCATGTTATCGGGCATGTTGCCTTCTGAAAAGCCAAGAAGAAATGGTATAAATCAAGCCTAGTCGCAATGTCCCCGCACCACATGTTAACGTCCGCGTACATCTGCAGGACCTTGTCCCAGTTCTTCCCGCCAAGAGAATGGCACTGGGCATACATGTTGGAGTACTGGCCTCCCGGCACCTCAAAGGGGTTCTGAGCGGTGCCCTCTATCTTCAAAAGATTTCGGGCCCTAAGCCCCGGAAATGTCTAGGGTTGAGGGGTATAGGACGTAGGGAGGTATAGGGTTTATGGTCTATAGGGCTTCGTGTTCCAGGGTAAGGGGATTTTGAACAAGCAGCCAGAGGGTCTCATTGCCGAAGAACCCTAGGACGCCCCTGAACTAGCCCCGGAAGCCCTCTTTTCAGCCCTGTGAGGGGTCCTGGTGCTGGAAAACACGAGCGGTCATCGCCTTCATCCCACTCTCGAAGGGGCTGTACATGTCCCGCACGGACGCCCAGTAGGTATCCAGGCCCTCGAGCTTCCTGTCATGCTAAGCGTTGCTTAGGGTTTAGGGTTTTAGGGTTTAGGGTTTTTGGTTTAGGGTTTAAGGTTTAGGGTTTATAGGGCTTAGGCAAAGATGTATTTTGTTGTGTTCCCTGCAGGGTGTTCGTCTTCCCTTCCACTTAGAAGACGAAAAAGAAACAACCCTAAACCCTAAACCCTAAACCCTAAACCCTAAACAGATTCCCCAAAAGAGAGGCCCAGCTTCCTGTAGTCAATCTTGGGATCGCGGGGCCTTCCCTCCATGGTCGCCACGAAGGCGTTCAGCGAGGGCTGCGAGGTGCCATCCGCGAAGGCCGCGAAGCAGCCGTCCACGATGTCCTCGTTGTATAGCGTAGCCCTAAACCCTAAACCCTAAACCCTAAACCCTAAACCCTAAACCCTAAACCCTAAACCCTACCTAAACCCTAAATCCTGATTTATAAACCCTAAAAACTAAACCCTTGACCTTGAATATTGAGAAAAGAGTCGCAGCCGGCATCGGCCATGGCATGCAGGGTTGCGAGCTGCGCCGAGGAGGTGTTGTGCGTGTGGAAATGGATGGGCAAGTCACAAACTGACCTCAGATTGCGGAAGAGATGTACAGGGTTTAGGGTTTAGGGTTTAGGGCTTCGGGTTTAGGGTTTAGGGCAAACCTCTCTTGCATGGTTGATATAGGTTTGCATCAGCCTTAAAAACGTTTTCGGAAACCCACCGCCTAGGGACCGGATGACCTGAATCATCGGGGCGGCATGAGCTGGCTTCAGCAACCCGGCCATGTCCTTGATGGCAATCATGTGAGCTCCCGCATCAACCTTGGGGACGACTTATGAAACCCTAAAAGGGTTTATGAGTTATGGTACCTTAATGGGAATTTATAGTAGTTTGGGGTATAGGACCCCAATTTTAGGGTTCATGTACCTTAATAGGAATTATAGTAGTATAGGGTAATAGAACCCCAATTTTAGGGTTCTTTTCGTCCCCAAGGAACGCACTTCTTGCAAAGCTCCTTGTAGTAGTCGAGCGTGTAGATCTTCTCATCTGGGCTCAGGAAGTCTCCTGTGAAGCACATGGCAATCTCGGCCACCTTGTTCATCTTACGCACCGCGTTAATGGAGACCTTCATCTGCTCAATGTCGTTGAAGCAATCGAAGATGCGGAACACATCCATCCCTGAAGTCGCAGCCTGGCGAACGAACTCCTCGACGACGTTGTCCTGGGATGGTTGTTTAACAGGTGAACGTTTTCATGTTGAGTGCCTGTGGGTTTTGACAAAAACCGGCAGAGAACCTGGCATGAATCTCCAGTGCCCAAGTGAAATGAACCTTCTCGTCATTTAGAGTCCTTAGCGTTTTGAATGGAATCGCCACCTTCCAGAGCCAGAAAGAAATTCATATTTTCGCAATACAAGCTTGATACTGGAATCGGATACTTTCCTTTCCGCGATCTATCCACGAAGCAGTTTTCTGCTCTGTATGACAAGTCTATATCGATTTTTGGGCGGACCACGTGCGAAGTTGCCTCCGTCTTCACGCACACCTCACAGGCCCCTCCCTAGCAGTGAAGCATACCGGAAATGACTTACAGTAAGCCCCAAAAAGTTGGAAACATTCTTAAACATTCTTATGGACAAATAGTGCCGGGATTCCCTATACTTTCCTCTTAGGGATTGAGGCTGCTGAGTTTCCAACTTTTTGGCTTCTACTACACTTTGGTCACGGCAAATCCTCCACTCACTGCAGGTGCACACTCAACTTCAGCCCTTCAAAGTTCACGTGCCGCCCCTCACTGTTTCAGCAACCATTCTACCCCCCCTAAACCCTAAACCCCAAACTCTTAACCCCAAACCCTGAACCCTACACCCTGAACCCTGAACCCTGAACCCTAAACCCTAAACCCTAAACCCTAAACCCCAGCGGCAGGGTAGGACTTGTAGCCGACTCCGTTGGCGCCCCGCAGCAGCATCTGCGTGCAAATGTTGGGGATCGCGGCCCGGAGCTCTTCGAGGCGCCGGAAGGCGTCCTGGGGGTTAGGGATTGTAGGGTTTGTAGGGTTTGTAGGGTTTATAGGGTTTGGAGGGTATATAGGGTATGTAGGGTTTAGGGTTTGGGGTTTAGGGTTTGGAGTTTGGGGTTTAGGGTTTAGGGTTTATAGGGTTCATAGGGTTTATAGGGTTCATAGGGTTTATAGGGTTTATAGGGTTTATAGGGTTTATAGGGTTTGGGGTTTAGGGTTTGGGGTTTGGGGTTTGTAGGGTTTAGGGATATTTATGTGCATGTATGTAGCTTCTATTCGTATTTCGTGGCCACGACCCTCGAGAAAGAAAGCGGGTGTGAGCAAACCGGCATCTTGCCAAAACTGTGCGTGTTTTGGGAACTGTACTTCCTGAGGAGTCATCAGCTAAGCTCCTACATGCACCGTGGGTCCTCATGCAGGAACCGGTATGCGACGTCGAAGGTGGCACCACCCCAACACTCCAGGGAGAAGTACTGGTGCAGGTGTTTGCTCATCTCTGGGGCGGCTTTGAGCATGTCGGCTGTCCTCAAGTAAACTTTAAACTCAGGTCAGGGCCCCAACCCCTAAGGTATCCCTGGAGCGCCCTCAGAGCATCCCTGCAGTGTCCCCCCTGGAGTGCCCAAACCAAAGAGAAAAATCGTGTCTGCGTTGAGGGCCCCTCGAGTCTCACCAAAAGGCCCGACCCCCAAAGTATCCCTGGAGAACACTCTCTTTGGGGTGCCTTACCTTGCAGTCTCAGGTCTCCCCCCTGACCCCCTTCCACCCTCCGAAGTCTGTGTGCGTACATATGTATGTGTACGTATACATCTAGAAAAGCAGGTTGCACACATACCTGCAAGTCGCAAAAACAAACAAGAAAAAACACACCCAGTAGAGATGGATCAGGAGTCAACATGGTCTCAATACGACGTGTGACCCACATTCCATCTACTTTGGCGCCCTTTTCCCTAAACCCTGAACTTTTAACCCTTTCTTCGGGTCCTATTCGCTGAAACCAGCGTCTAAGTGTACCTCAAACCCAGAATCACACAACCCACAGGTCCGCCCCTCTTTTGCTGAATTCATCGCCGGGAGGCCGCATGCGCGTCGCCACCAGAGACTGGTGCGCGTCGCGCAGCGTCGTGTCCGTCAACCTCGAGGGGGGGCCACCGGGACACGCGCAGAAACCCGAGAAGCCACGAAAAAAGGAAGGTGAACACCCAAAAACACTTCGGGTTTAGGGTTTAGAGTTTAGGGTTAGAGCTAAAGTTCCGTGGGAATCCTAGAAACCTCTAACCTCTAAGAACCGCAAGAAAGACATCGCTAGAAATTACTGAAAGCACCTAAATACCTCGAAGCCCCCCACCCTAAATTCTCTACGGCAATCTGTACCAAGGATCTAGGAGATGCTGCTCTCGTAGTTCCATTTACTACTGGACGACAGGACTGATACTACCAAACCCCTGGGAGTAGGGCACTCATCGCCCACCCTAAACCCTAAACCCTAAACCCTAAACCCTAAACCCTAAACCCTAAACGCTAAAACCCAAATCAGGCCAGGCAGCAGCACTCGCTCCTTCGAAGTGGCGCGCACCCACCTGGGGGGCGTTTAAACGGTCTGAGATCGGCAATCTAAGCTAAGTAATCTCACAACCTGCAGAGCAAGTGTTTAGGGTTTGGGGTTTAAGGTTTTAGGGTTTAGGGTTTGTAGGTTGGGATGTTCCCCCTTATACTAACAGCCCTTAATAGGGATGTTAATAGGGCGGGGTACTAGAATCCCTATTCAGGATTGTTAGTATACGGGGGAACATCCCAACTCACAACCATGAAGACAAGTGATTACAAGAGAGAACTAGTGATGCAAGAGAGAGAGAGAAAAAAAAAACAAATAGGTTTAACGGTTTAGAGGAAGAAGACGAGTTAGAACGAAAGAAATCATGAGGAAGAAGCGCCGCAAGGCAGCAGCACAATTCCGCAAGAAGGACACTGTCGAGAGTTTCAGGGTTCAGGACTCTGAAGTTGAGAAAGTGCAACTCAACGCCGAGGGAAACCATAGAAGCAAATCTTGGTTTGAGAAACACGCAACAATTAACCCAAAAAAGACGAGAGAGAGAGAGAGAGAGAGAGAGAAAGAGAGAGAGAGAGAGAGAGAAAAAACAACAAACCCTAAACCCTAAACCCTAAACCCTAAACCCTAAACCCTAAACCCTAAACCCTAAACCCTAAACCCTAAACCCTAAACCCTAAACCCTAAACCCTAAACCCTACCCTACGACACCAAAGAAAGCCCAGCCGCCTTGCCATGGCTTCTGGCCCCTCCTCGTCGAGGATCTGCTTCGCGTTGCGCTCGGGCTTCGCAGCAGCTTCGGGCTCCACCTGAGGGTTTAGGGTTTAGGGTTTAGGGTTTAGGGTTTAGGTTTTGGATTTAGGGTAAACAGTATAGTTCTGAAGAAAGAATGACTTGTATTTGCATGTTTCTTATCATGTTCTGACAACAATCAAAGTACGAAATCGAACCCTAATCCATAAACCCTATGGACTCATAGCAGGGCTGTTTTTTGGGGTTCATAGGGTTCGGGGTGACAGGATGTTCGTGTGGAAGGGATTGGGTTCCGGATCTGCTTGGGGTGGGAAGAAGGTGCTTGCGTAAGAGCTCGCCCCCTAAACCCTAAACCCTAAACCCTAAACCCTAAACCCTAAACCCTAAGTCCGAGGTCCCACACCTTCAGGAAGCAGCTGCGTGGGCAGTCGCTGGGGCCCTTGCCTCGGAGTAAAGTGTCTATATGTTAACACCCCCTGCCCGAAGCTTGGAAGTAAACCCTAAACCCTAAACCCTAAACCCTAAACCCTAAACCCTAAACCCTAAACCCTAAACCCTAAACCCTAAACCCTTAGGGGCTCGACTGCTAGCCCGTTCCCACGCCACAGTGCCTATGACTGCAGGGTGAGATTCGCCACTACGCGGCACCCAAGCTTCAGGCACAACCCACGCATAAAACTCGAAACTGCCTGAACCCTACCTACATGCCATGAAAACCCCAAAACCCGAGGCCCGAAACCCTCAACATCCCTTTGCGGATTTAGGTACAGAGCCTTATGAATAGATGTTCAGGGTTTAGGGTTTAGGGGTTAGGGTTAGAAGCCTTAGAGACCTGTTCCTGTTCGTAAGATACGTCAGGCTTCTAGCACACAGCACGAGGAAAATATTGAAGCTACTTTTTATGTTAACTGAAGCCCTAAACCCTCAACCCAAAACCCCAAAACCCCAAAACCCCACAACCCCACAACCCCTAAACCCCTAAACCCCCTAAACCCCTAAACCTCTAAACCCTAAACCCTAAACCCTAAAACCTAAACACTAAACCCTAAACATCCCTAAACCCTATGAAGCCTGAGTTGCCCTTGAAGAAGGAGTGGGCTCCCTTCAGCGTCCTCTCCGTGAGGAAGTGGAGGATCTTCGGAGGCGTCGGCACAACGCGCTGCTTCTTGCCCTTCTCCTCCTTAGGGTAGCCCAGGAATCACTTGTAAGAATGGGGTTTAGGGTTTAGGGAGCCTTGTACCCCTAAACCCTAAACCCTAAACCCCAAACCCACAAAAAGGGCAAACAAAAAGGTTTCCCTGGGCTAGCAAGCTGCCACAGGAGCCGAGGTGAGGGCCTCCCTCTCTTGAGGGCTGTACTCCTGGGTGGTCGGTTTAGGTTTAGGGTTTAGGGTTTAGGGTTTACCCCCTCTGCTGGCTTGCTGCTTGCTGAGCTGCTTACTAGATGAGCAAAAATCAAAGAAAAAACTTGCTACCAGAATACTACTGGGCTGCTAAAAGACTCTGAAACTCAAACAAATAAGAAAGCAGGGGATGAGGAAGAAAAAAAAGAGAGAGCCCAATATCAGGGAAAACTAAGCGTCTTTGAACTTCCCCATGCTCCGGAACTTCTGGTAGCGTTGCTCCACAAGCTTCCCCGAGTCCAACGCAGCAAGCTCCTGGAGACTTGCCTCCAAAGTGGGTTGATCAGGGAATAGGAGGGTACACTATATTCTACCCTCTATATATATATATATATATGTACCCTTTGAGGGGTTACTATATATGTACACATATACATATTTATATGTACATATATATATATGCCCTTTAAGGGGTTATACAGGGTACCTCATGCCCTGATTCCCTACTAACCAACTGGAGAGTTGCCTCCACAAAGGCGCTGATGTTGCCCATCGTCCCAGGGAAAGACTTGCAGTCCTTTTGGGGTATCGGAGCATTGAGGATGAGATTCCGCTTGGGCGAAGCGGCCGGAGGTGAGTTACCCTTGTGGATTTCTTTAGAGAACTGGCAGGGCAGTCCTTTGATGTCTTCCGCAAAGTTTATCCAAGGAGTGGGGGTTGCATGGACTTGTGAGACCCTAAAGTAGTGGAAGATGGGCTATGCAGAATTCCTCCATGCGAACTGAAGGAAGAACAGCACATTCCGACATCTGCTGTGACCACATGCAGGTAGAGGAACAATCATCAAAATGGGCGGAATTGCAACACACGTCTTCTATACCCCATAGGATCCTTCCACAGGGCCCTAAGCCCCAAGCCCCAAGCCCTAAGCATTAAGCCCTCAACCCTAAGCCCTCTACGCCCTCTACGCCCTAAGCTCGCAGTCCTCGCCCTCCTTCTCCCAGATCACCTCGTCGATGACGCCCAGCTCTTTCAACTGCGGGGCATAGATGTTCTGCTTGGAAGCCAAGGCCAAGCAGTCCTCCGACTTAGGGTTTGGGGTTTAGGGTTTCTTGCAATGGGCCCCCCAGGACTTTTCAAGGAAAAGCCGTCCTCCCCTATTAACAAAAAACGTCAGCCTTGAACAGATTAAAGGCGGAAGCGCGGTTTGTTGCAACTGCTCTTCGCTTACTTGCAACCTTCTTCTAGAATCGCCAGTCAATATTTGCCTGAAACACTTGCAACATAGACACCTGCTCTACAGAGCCTACGTATCCAAAATCCAACCTGTATGGTATGCAAAACACAAAAAAAGGCAACATCTAAGCAAGCAAATTACAGAAGAGCTTCAGCCTTAAACGCAGTCCTCCGGGAACTGTACCTTCTTGTGGTCATCATCCTTGTACCTCCCTAAGATGGAGGCCGCCCCTTCAGGCGTGATGGTCGAGTAATAGGCCTGGAGAAAGCAAGAACATCCGATTTTGACAGAAAAAAACCGTGAACTTGAAAAGTGAGTCTGCAAGAGCAGGCAAGAACCGGACGGCAGAGCAGCTTAGGCAGCTTAGGGTTTAGGGTTCCACCAGAGAAACCACCCTGAACCCCTAAACCCTAAACCCCTAACCCCTAAACCCTAAACCCTCAACCCTAAACCTAAGCCCCTAAAGCACAGCCAGCCTGAGACAGCATCCCAATCTTGTTGCCCATGGCGATGGCCAAAGCACCCCCCGAGCCGCCCTCCCCGACGATGATGGTCACAATCGGCACCTTCAGGCCGCCCATCCTGGGATTTGTTGATGCTGTTTTTGTATGCGGGGGGGGGGGGGGGGGGGGGGGTAAGGGCCTGCGGGGTTTAGGGCTCCCCATCATGGTTTTGGCCTGTTTTTTTTTTTGTGGGGGGGGGGGGGGGGGGGGTGATTCTAACCACCCAGGCTTCTAGGAAAGGCTGCTTCTAGGACCTTGATCTTAACGAATGCAAACAAGGTCCCCACGGCCATCTGCGGGACTGCAGATTGACATAGAACAACAAGGGAAAACAACAAAGAAACACAACACACAAAGCACACAACTTGTGCCTCAGTTGTTCTTCCTAGTTAACCTTTGGGATTATAAGGGGACTATACTACCCCAAAAAGGTTAAAGGTTCCCTACTCTATTCATAATACCTAAACCCTAAACCCTAAACCCTAAACCCTAAACCCTAAACCCTTCTTTTTGCAATTCTCAGCGGCTTGGTCAGGTTCGTGGCGATGGCCTCGCTCTGGCCCGCCGTCTCCGCTGCGAAGGAAGGCCAGGCTCCGACTGTGTCCACCAAGGTGACCACCTTGGTTGTTTAGGGTTTAGGGTTTAGGGTTTAGGGTTTAGGGTTTAGGGTTTAGGGTTTAGGGTTTAGGGTTTAGGGTTTAGGGTTTAGGGTTTAGGGTGTAGGGTGTAGGGTGTAGGGTGTAGGGTGTCTCCTTGGGGAACTAAAGGTTAACCTTTGGGGATTATAACGGGAATGCAATAATATCCCACAAAGGTTCTTAAGGTTACCTTCTCTATACTACTACTAAGCCACGGGGAGGTTGAAGCGCTCCGCGAGGTCGAAGAACCGCAAGGCCGTCCTCTCGGGACTGCAACTGACTTGAGGAAACTACTTCGGCTAAGTGCTCTTCTTCTGCTGCTGCGAGATGTTCTTGCTGCTTTTGCTGCTGGCGGACTTCTTGGCTTCTTCTCTTCTCTTTCTTGTGTTTTTTCTCTCTTTGCTCTTGATCTGCTTGTTCTTTCCCATGTGCACTTTCTGGCCGTCCTGTAGCCAGCAGGCGTGGGCATCGCGTGGTTGTGATGCTCTCTCTCTGTGGGAGTGTGACCCTTGCCTTCGGTCATGGCCAGAAGCAAGTTAATAAGCTTTACAATCCCCAAACACTTTAAGCTTGTAGTTCGACATAACCAACACAGGAGTCGTTTTGTAAGTCCACGCTCAAAAACTTGGGCTCCAAGTTGCAGCAGCGCATGACCACGACGCTGCGGCCGCTCTGCAGTGTGGCGAGGCCGCAGCGCAGGCACCTGTCCAGGCCATTGGGGCCCTTGCCGTCGCCACCGAGGTCGATGAAGCGGACCGCGAGCTCCTCTTCTCTTTTTTTCGGAGGGTGTTGGTTTTGGGTTATAATGTCTAGGGTGTAAAGGTTTAGGGTTCTCTGGGTCATGTAAAAGGGAGCCCTTAAGTTAAGATGAAAAAACCCAAGGAAGCTGCTTAAAGCCGTTTTCTTTGATAGCTTTAAGGAACAAAGCAAGCTTGAAACGGATGTGATGCTGGCTATGGCAACTATTTTTTGAGTTCGTTCGCAATAACGAAGCTAGGTCCTTGAGAATGTCCGAGGAGTCGTAGCGGTTGAGGAGGCGCGAGTTCACGTAGACTGGGTTCCCACACTCGAACTGTGTGATCGACAGGGAGGTTGAGGGAGCCTGCTGTGGCTTCGCTGCCAGCACGGACAGCACCTGCCAAGCGATGGACTCCATTTCTTCTGGGGGCACCACCAAGTCCACCATACCATGACGCATTCCGAACTCGTTGCTCTGGAAATCCTCCGGGCACTCGCGATCGTAGGCCGACTGATGCATGCCGAACTGTGTGTTCAGGATCACTTGCGGCCCGGAGAACCCCAATCGGCCCCGCTCTGCGCCAATCCGCACATCGGCCTGCATGGCGTACGAGGCGCTTACGCCTCCATAGCAGGGGTCCACAAGGAGAGTGATGAAGGGCAAGCCCGCCGAGGCCAAGGCGGAAACGGCGCAGGAAACCTTGGCCATCTGCATCAGGGACAAAGTGCCCTCATGCATCCGCGCTCCACCGCTTGCGCACTTGACGACCACTGGGAGCCCATGCTGCTTGGCGTACTCGAAGCCTCGTGTGAGCTTCTCGCCCTCGGCACATCCCAGGGAGCCTCCGAAGAACTTGAAGTCATGCTCCATCCACCTAGTTCATTGTTGGGATGATATTTCCTTGTTGGGTTCAAGTACCCTTAAAAATGTAAAATGTTCCCCAACTACGACAAAGCCACATGACCCGAATGCCTTGGGTATCAGACCCCAAAGGCATGAGGGTCTTGATCGTGCACTTGATGGCGGACAAGTTCTTGGCCCTTGCCTGGTTCTTCTTCAGCTCAGCCTCGTAGGCCGTACCTCCGAAGTCGAACCCCAAGAAGTCCTCCGAGCCGACTTCCGGCCACAAGGGCATCCCCTCCTCGGCCATCTCCGGTGTCTGCGCTGCCATGGCTCCAGTCTATGGCGTACTACGGTGCTGGTTCTGCAATACTTTGCTCGAGAGAGAACGGCCAGGAGAGCATTGAGCAAGGCGTAGTAGGGCCAAGGTCTCAGTGATGCTTTGTTGCAGGCTGTGAGGAGTGTTGACGGTGCACCTTGCTGCTGTCAAGATTTGTCCTATCTTGCTCGCATGCAACAAAGGCTGGAGTAACAGAACCCGTATATACTGGAGGTCGCTAACTCCGGAAAGGTCGCAGCAGAAATCGTGTCTTGCCCAATTTTTCTGTGGCCAGGGAGGCTTTCGTATGTACCGTTCAGAAAGTGTTCGGAGCTGTCGCAGACGATGTAAGTATGCCACTTGCAGAGCGGACCTTCAGCAGCCCCAATCACTTGAAGAAAGGCCCTGACCCTTTTTGTTTAAGATCAAACTCTAGCATCTACAACCCAAGAGCCTGTACTTAAGTCTCACTGTCGCCCGCAGAGAGCCATTAACACAGTACTTCACTATCAGGAGGAAGTGGCGCATCTCGACACTCACTGTCAACTTGCATACAGTGCGCAGCCTCCAGCCTCAAAAAAACCGTGAATCTTTGAACCATCATCCGTCAGCATCAACCTCAACCCCCCCCAAACAACTTCAGCCTCGGTAGCCTCAGAGATGCAACCGCCTGCTTCCATCAAGTTCTGGGAGTTTAGGACTTTCGGATGCTGCAGCTTTGGCTTTCTTTCGCTTAGGCGATTCGGTTTGAAGTCAGGGACTCTCGTCCATAACAAAAAGCCTACGCCGACCCTCGAGCCGAGATTTCGAGTTGAGGGGTTGAGCTGCTGAGCGCTTTAGGACCGCAAGAAGCGATCACACTGCCTCCGGGGGAGCCCCCGGTCTCTGCGGAATTTTTTTTGTTTTTCTTATCGATTTGTTTCTTCGTATCTGAGCTGGGTTCAAGAAGATAGAACAGGCTCGATGTTGCTGCAGCCTGCGGAGAAGGTGATTGTGCGTGGCAGTGGGTGGTTGTGGGGGTGGTGCGTGGGTGGTGGCGGTGGTGGAAATGGCGGGTAATGGCGAGTAATGGTGCGTTGCGTTGAGGGTATGCAACGGTGGGGAATGGTGGGCTGGTAGGTCGTGTTAAGCGATGGTAGGAAGTGGCGGGTATGATGGTGGGAATGGGGGTTAAGAATAGAGAGGGGGGGGGGGGGGGTGGTGAACAGAAGATACGTTCCCGGAAATGGGAGATGGGGGGTTAAGTAGAAGCTGGGGCTGGTGAAAAAGGACAGGACGGCCCCAATCTCAATATCATCATGTATTTCAGAAAATCGGCATTATTGGGAATTTGCTGTCATCATCATGTCGAGGTTGAACCCTTTCCATAGACACGCCACGCTTTTTGGTATTCTGGCAAACTGAGCTTGCATGCAACACATGAATTAAGCTTCCTCGCGCCAAGGGTCTGTAGGCGGACAAAATTGTTAAAAGGGCAGGCTCCTCAAGAGCTTTCAAGGAGCCACCAAACACCACGAGTTTGCCCCGAGAGGAGTTTCACAACTCCGTCCTGTACATGGATGGTTCCAAGCAACAAAAACTTGGGGGGCCCAGCCTTCCTTCAGAGAGCTGAGGTCCGCGCACTGTGCAATTCACATGGGTGCAACTTCTTACTTCTCCAATAACCAAGGCCAAAAAAAGGTTAAACTTTAATATTCCTACTAAATGAGGAAACCCAAGAAGTTTAAAGTTCAACTAAAGGCGAAGCAAGACTTTGAGGGACATAAAAGGCCACAACGACGGATTTTTCGCCACAGGCGCGAAGTTCTTCCATCTACAGCTTTGACTGACGGCAACTTCGAAGCTGGGAGGTTGGAAGCTCCACCTCATGCTTCGAAGAATCCTGGGTTGGTTTAGGGTTTAGGGTTTAGGGTTTAGGGTTTAGGGTTTAGGGTTTAGGGTTTAGGGTTTAGGGTTTAGGGTTTAGGGTTTAGGGTTTAGGGTTTAAAGTTTAGGGTTTAGGCATACAGAAATCGATACGATCCCAAGTTGATTTTGAGTCCCGTAGCCAAAATCTACATCCCCAATCTATCCCCCACATGATGCCTCCTTTATATACGCCCTTCTGTTATCAGCCCCCCCCCCCAAAAAAAAAATGAAAAATAAATAACAAACACTCATATACCCCTGTAAGGTCCTTAGCAGCAACTTTCTGTCACACTCCCCCCCCCCCCCCCCCCCAAAAAAAAAAAAAAAACACACACAAAAACCCACCCCCAAAAAAAAACAAGCACTCATATTACACCTGTAAGTTCCTTAGCAGCGGCCCAGAATCAAGGAAGATCCGCACGGTGGTGTCCAGGTTGGCAAGCTGCAGGTCCATGTCTAAAATGGACGGAGCGGAAGTCATAGACGCTTCCGACCTCTTCTAGCTGGCTCTTAGTAGGGAAGGAGGGCATGAGGTACCCTACAGAATCCCTTAAAGGGTAATATATATGTATATATATATATGTATATATTATAATGTATATACATATATATATATATATATCGGGCCCTGATTCCCTCATTCCCTACTCAGAACCAGGAAACCTTATGTCCAGAAATCCCTCTACACCCAATCAACCCTCAACACTCCTTCCCCGATATGCCCGGACTACCCTACACCCTACACCCTAAACCCTAAACCCTAAAATTTGCCATGAAAGCCCTTCAGCGCCTCTGTGACCATGTGGTGGCCAGTGGGATTTCAACCACCGTATCGCTGACGGTGCCCGGGACCCAACCAGCTCCACGGCCCAGGTAGGCTTCCACCTGAAAGGTGGGGTTAGGGTTTAGGGTTTAGGGTTTAGGGTTTTTTTTTCGCTCCCGCATAGCCGGCCGAACCGCAGGCAGGGTTGATGGGTGGTGCGACTCTGTAAAACTCATGGGTTTAGGGTTTAGGGTTTCGGGTTTCGGGTTTACCAGGGTAGCTGGGGTCTACAGGGTTTATCTGAGAAGAATTAGTAAAGAATTCAACACGCCAAACCCATATTCCTTGACCTATAAAGGAGAATGCAAGTAAGGATTTTGCCACACCTCTTAGTTCCTTCCAAGGGTATGCTCAAGGAGCATGTTGAATGTTTCACAGAGTTTAATTAGAAGGGTCGCAAGGTCCTAAGGTGCTTCTAAGGGTGTAGAAGAGCAAGGGAAAGGGGAAGAGGGATACTGGGTATGTTTTAGGGCTAGGGTATTTAGGGTTTAGGGTTTAGGGTTTAGGGTTTAGGGTTTAGGGTTTAGGGTTCGCAAGTGTGCAGCTAGCACCCAAGATCGCCAGTGTAAGAAGATGCCCTGGCCAGCCCGGCCTACAGAATTTGTTTTCTTAATCCCTGTTCCCCTAGGAAGAAAAATGGATCCTTTTTGTTCATATATAAGAAAGCCCATAACCCAAAAAGTAAGAAGGATCCCTAACACTGATCTAGTTTTGAGTCGGTATACCCCATAACCCCTCAACAAACTGACCCAGAAAACATCCCTGAACACTCTTCAAGAACCCCAGCAGACCGCTGCAACCCTTCTGAGAGTTTGTTCCACCTGCTCGCCCGCCACGAACCGACGTCGAAGCATGTTCAAAGGAACCTCCAGGTCCTTTTTCTGGTCCTTCTCAAGCCTCCAAGGGAACTCAAGGGAACTCAAGGGAACTCAAGGTAACTCAAGGGAACTCAAGGGAACTCAAGGGAACTCAAGGGACCTCAAGGGACCTACATCCAAGGCTTAAACCAAGCAGGGGGGCAAAAAGCGCTGGAGTCTTCTATTCAAGCCTGGAATCTGAACTCCACTAAACCCTAAACCCTAAACCCTAAACCCCAAACCCTAATCCAGGAGCCTCACTCGGAAAGTCCAAAGGTGTGGTGGGCGGCGGACGGGCGGCGTGGTCCGGACCACCCCGGGGGTCCAGGCCTTGCAGGGGTGTCGGGCATGGCAGGAGTACGAAGTTCAAGCTCATGAACTCTTATGCTCGCTTAGCGTCTAGGGTTCAGGGTTTAAAATCGCTCACGCTCGGACAGGGTTCAGGGATGCTAGTTTCCAGTTCGATTGTCCAATATTGGAAAGGATACATTGAGTACGTTGGGTTTATTGGGATATAAGGGGATGCACAGCAAGGCAAGGGTACATGGTGTACATTTGGGTTGAGGGTTACCCTAAACCCTAAACCCTAAACCCTAAACTCTAAACCCTAAACCCTAAACCCTAAACCCTAAACCCTAAACCCTAAGCAGGCGGAACCTAAACCCTGGCCTTCTCCGAATAGACCTCCACGTGCTCGCCCGCCTCCAGAACTGGCCGTAGGGCTCGCAAAGGTACAGCCTGCACTCAGCCATGCGCCCCCTTAGGGTTTAGGGTTTAGGGTTTAGAAAAAAACTGCAAAGCGAGATGCAACAGTACATGGTGCTTGGATCTGATGATTTCAAGGCGCTGCGAATGCTGAGACCCCACAGTTTTCAAGACTGCGCTCCAATGCACGTGAATGTGAACCTTTCCTCTTGGTTTACGACTAGACACTACTGACCCTAAACTTGTATTATAAACCCTATTAGAAACCCTTTTTGGACCCAGACTCCTGAAGCCAGCTGGGAGCTACTAGAAACCCTAAATCCTAAGCCCTAAACCCTAAACCCTAAGCCCAGTCCTTTTCACAGCGGTCTTGCCTCCCTTAGCTGGCTGCGGACGCCGACACGGCAAGCATAGGAGGGGAGCTCGCTTGGGTCGTCGCTTTGGAAGGTGCCTGATGGGCAACGTTTAGGGTTTAGGGTTTAGGGTTTGGGGTTTAGGGTTTAGGGTTTAGGGCTCAGGTGAGCCGCAAAGCAGTGGTTTGTGGTTCAAGGTTTGGGCGCTTTATCATGTGCCTGGCCCCGCGACTCTAGCTGGCACCATGCATGCCAAGGTCGAAGAAAAGTACAGGACCCATTCACCTTCCAGGTAGGCTTCAGTCGGAGGCACGTGCAACACGAAGCCATCCAGCCCTGCAGACACAATAGATTCCTTCGTTGTCCAGTAACCTGGGGGAATCCTTTGGGAACTATTACCCAAAAAGAAGGGGATTCTATTACCCCAAAAAGGTTAAAGGTTACCGATACTCTACTACGAAGCTTCAATAGAGTCGGTCTCCAAGAAGTAGAGATCATCCACACCGGCAGAGATGACGTCCACTGCTTCGTCCAAGCTTGAAAGCACCAGTTCGTTGGCCTGAGACGACGGCTCGGTCTCCGGGGGCTCCGTCTCCAGATGAGCACCTCTTGCTTGTCGGGATGAAATGCTGCCGTGGAGTTTTGGAATTCGATCTTTTTTGGGAAAGACGGCGGAAGCTGCCGTGTTTTCGTAGTTTTTAAATCTTGTTCATGAGGACGGAAAGTGCAGGGAAGATGCGTTAACAACGGGCAAGCTTGATCACTAGCACTGGAACACGAAGACTGCGCAAGCCCGCTCCTGCCTGCATCCACGTTTGAGGAGAGCTGCGGTCGAACCGTCTCCCGAGGAGGATCTCGATGGGAGTCGGCCGAATCCACCTTTGACTGCCAGTTGGTGCCAGTCATGGGGGAAAGGATTCTTATAGGAGGCCCTGCAGAGTACTACAGAGAGTCTATGATAGTCTCTGGAATCAGCTCCTCTATTCCCCGCTGAGCACCATCCTCTCATCCATCAGCGGAGAGTAGAGCACGTTTGGGCACGTGGGCGCTATACAGGGCAAGGAAGACCACGAGACCGTAAACCCTAAACCCTAAACCCTAAACCCCAAACCCTAAACCCTAAACCTCATAGGCACCTTGCGATGAGGTGGCCCGATGTTAAGGTTCACGGCAACTTGACGGCGGCCCCGGCGCAGGTAGTGTAGGTCTTCCTTGGGGACCAAGTGAACCCTAAAACTGGGGCCCTATAAGCTATACTACTATAATTCCTATGAAGGTATATGAACCATAAACCCTTTTAGGGTTCATTTCTTCCCCAAGGTTCCAGTATGCTGAGGTCTTCCTCCCAGCGCACGTGGACCTTTGCCTGGGCTGCTGGGCCGCGTTCCACATCCACTTCGCCCAGCTCGCTGAGCTTGAAGGAGAGTGTGCGCACCTTCTCTTTGCGGCCATGTGCACGCTTCTGTGCCACCAGCTTGACATGCCCGGAGGTAGGCTTCCGCACGCGTCGGAGCAAGACAATGCAGAGAAGCAAACAGCATATAACTGCGAAAGCGCTGCAAAGCACCACAGCACCTGCATAGCTCTCCACGTTGACGACGACTCCTCCAATGGTCCGGTCAAAAGGTACCGTCTGCAGGAGTGCAAAGAGGGATGTGTGTGTAGTCCGACACCAGGAACGGTTGATGCTTTCGCCATGAACCTGGTAACCAGGAAATTACGGCTTTTCGTAGAGGTATAAGTGTATAATACTGTATAAGGACGCAACACCCTTCAGCAATCCGAGAGCTGCAAGTGCTACTATTTAGCGTCCTTACTTGAAAGCACCCACTGCTGGTCCTCGTAGTGGGCCAAGAAGTCGACCCCCTCCTTCGACCAGGCACCCAGTGCGGGGTCGAAGAATCCACACCTAGGTGCCACATCTACTGAAGCAAGTTCCAAGAGAACCAGAACAAATATCTGATAGGGTTTGGGTGACGTGAAACAACGATGCCCTTCCCTGGCTTTGACCGATCTTATAGGTTGAGAGCTGCGCAGCAGACACCATAAGCAAAATTCTAAGCTAAACTTCAAGCTGCTTCTCGTCCTCAAGCGGAGCGCGGGAAGCGAAGGAGAAGACGATGCCTTCGCTTCCCGAAACGTTCAGTAGAGTCAAAGCTCCAGCATTCTCGCTGATGAAGGAGAGCTCCACAAGCCGTGACAAGAGAACCACATCTTCTCCGTCAACGTCCTGCGCAGTAAAGGCTGGAGCTAGCTCCTGCGCCACCTCTGTGAAAACCATCATGGCGTTGCCACTTTGGAGCAAACTCTGCAGCAGGCTTGGCGGAAGTACGATCTTCATGGGCGAGCTGTCTTCACTGGTGTTCAGTTCCAGCACCACCGGGTCTGTCTGCGCGGTCAGCCGTATCGTGGTCACTGCCCCAACCGCCGTTGTCGTGCCATGTAAGTCGCCATCCTCGCAAAAGAACCTTGAAGCAGCCTCCATCGACTTAGACAAGATCTCCCCATGAGGGCTCTGCATGAGGCTGTCAGGAAGTACAACCCTAGGCACCTCAAAGGAAGTATTGCAGTCGCTGGAAGAAGTTGTGCTGCTCAAAGAGCTGGTAGATGTTGAAGTGTGTGGCGTCTTGGTGACTGAAGCTGATGTGGAAGATGACGTGGCTGTGGTCGTGGTGATTGTGGAAGAGACTGTTGTGAAAGAGGAGCTGGTTGAAAGTGTAGATGTTGAGCTGCTTGTTGATCTTGAAACTGTGGTTGATACTGAAATGCTCGTTGATATCGAGGTTGTACTTGAAGTCGACATGGTGTTGGAAAAGGAGACTGTGGTTGTGCTTCCCGTCCTCGTAAGTGAAGAGGTCGTGGTGCTTGTGGTGAATGTTGACGATGACGTCAGTGAGGTAGATGTGGTTGAAGACACTGTGGCAGTTGAGGTCGTGGTTGATGAAAGCATGGTGGAGGTTGTCAGCGAGGTGCTTGTTGACACAGATGTAGTGGATGTCGTGCTGCTTACAGTCCTCGTAAGTGTAGAGGTCGTGGCGCTTGCGGTGCTTGACGACGATGACGTCAGTGAGGTAGATGTGGTTGAAGACCCTGTGGCAGTTGAGGTCGCGGTCAAGGTGGCTGACGAGCTGCTTGTGGAGAGTGATGTGGATGATGTTGAGCGGCTTTGAGTAGTGGTGCTCGAGCTCGATGTGAACGTCCAAGTGGAGGAGCTTGAGGTGAGCGAAGCGCTTGTGGTGCTCGACGACGTTGTCACCGGGCGAGTGGCAGCAACAGTAACGACGATCTGATGTTCGGTCCCAAAATCTCCGCTGGCACCAGAATTCGCAAAGGCCTGGGCACCAATGAGGTACGTCCCAGGCGACGGCCCCCAGTTGGCATAATCACCCCCACTATCCCCAGCCAGGGCATAGGGTGCATTGCTCTCCGTTCTGAAGGTGCCTCCGTTGACTTTGAACCGCAGGCTTCCAACACTTTGAAAGGTAGTGGCGACAACATTGATCTGTGCAGGGAGCTCGTCCAGGTACAGTGTCGTCCCAGACACAAGAGGGTCGAATTCAGCAATGAGAATGTCATTGACTGCATCCACCAAAGCCATCTTCTCAACAGCTAGGGTAGCCGCACGGCTGCAGGTGAGAGCTAGAAACACAAGAGCAGCGATCCGCCTTGCAAGCGCGGATGGAGGCAGTCTAAGCATGGAGGCAGCCTTCTCGCGCTGCTCCGTCGCATCGCCATGAACAGCGAATGCTCTATCCCACTGCCGGTGTTTACGACTGTTACCCTAAACCCTAAACCCTAAACCCTAAACCCTAAACCCTAAACCCTAAACCCGCATACTTCAAGGTGAGCTATTCTCTGGTCAAGAGCCCGGTTCATGTCTGGCGCCGTGGGCTCTCGTATACCCGATGGAAATGCACTTGCAATTTTTTCATGAATCTCTGCATGCACAGTTGTGCAACTACAGTGGCGCCTAGCAGCCCGGAGCCACCAAACACGCAGGTGCAGAGTCATGAGTCTGACCTCAATGCGACTGATCCAATCAACCCCTTGAGCACTAAACCCCCTGAACCAAACTAGCCCAATAACCATATCATGATAGGGGCACTCTTTTCTGGGTTGGCAACTTTATAAGTGAAACCCAGAACCAAACAAGCTAAAGGGTACCACTGGGCTTTGAGCCATAGTACCACCCTTCACCCTTAGCAAGTTCCGTATCCTGCAGCGGCGTGTGCTTGGGGACCATGTGGAAGTGTCCTAGCGGTACAAGAATACTATACTGTAGCTAGACAATAGCCGAAGGTACTATAGACTACAATATGCCATGCTAGAGAACACGACTGAGTATTCCGGAATACTGGATGGCGCATGCCAGTGAGCAGGCATTTCTGAGACCCAACAAAACATCTAAATGCATGCCGGGACCTCTGAAACATTCATCGGCAAAACCCTCACCGGCAAGTTCAATACACCGTAAATGCATATCCCCCATGGCGCTTTGCACTTAGAACATTGCAGAGCCAGGGCAGTCATGACCGTGGGGCCTATTCGAGCCTCGTGGCCAAAGCCTTGCGCCACAATCATTTTTCTGTGCAGGACGGATGCTCATCTGGTAAATCTGCCTTGTCAGACTGGGACCTCGGCAAGTGGACACTTGGGCACATCTTCCACATGCCCGGGTTTACACTTCTTCTTGTGACGCTGAGCAAGAACAAACTCCGATCCCTGTGAGCACGTAGATTCCAGAAGGTGCCCTCAGCCAGGTGGGAACTTAATTAGGGTTTAAGGTTACACACGTGTGTGGATAAGTCCATTCTGGTGGGTTCTTCAACCGCTATGAACAGAACTACTTGCTTATCGGGGCGTCCCATAGCATGACTCCTCCTATTTTTTGGACTCTTCATAGTTGTCTTGCTTCTTGAGACAGAAAGAACTCTGGTTAACAAATCCATCTTGCCCAGCCCCCGCAACCGCCAAGGACAGTGCCTGGGAGCTATCCGCAAGCTGCGCCAAGGCATTGCGTGCCCAAGCGGTTACAATTCTGTTATGGTTAAATGTTCTTAAAGATGGGAGGTACCTCAATGATGCCAAGGTTTATGAAGTGCACTTCCAGTGCATTGTTTGTTTTTCGGGGGAGGGGGGGGAGGTGGGGGGGGGGGTGGGGGAGGGGGTGGGGGGGGTGGTGGGTTTGGGGTGGTGGGGGGGTGGGTGGGGGGGGTGGGGGGGGGGGGGGGGGTGGGGGTGGGGGGGGGGGGGGTTGGGGGGGGTGGGGGGGGGTGGGGGGGGGGGGGGGGGGGGGGGGTGGAGGGGGTTGGGGGGGTGGGGGGGGAGGTGGGGGTTGTGATCAAGTGGGTACGAGGACAAGCAGGTTTGCTGCGTGCTGGTGCCCTAATGCCTCCAGATCGATTTTGCCGATCCCCCAACTCACCCACACCCACGGCTGCGTAAAGGGTTGTTTGTGAGAGTGGATAGGGCACTCATTAGATGTGACGACTTCGTTCGCCTGGTAATGCTGCCTGAAGACGAGACAGGATTGTACAGTGTCTGTCATCTGAGCCCGAGCAGACACAAGCATGCTAAGTCCATCAGAATCACCAACAACTATCCGTGATGCCGCGATGTTTCTTTCTTTTTTCGAATGCTGTGGCACGCGATGCCTCTGGCTGCGGAAGCATCATGCAACTAATTTCCAGCTCTGGTTGAGCAATAGATTGAACTCAGCAAGAGCCGCCATTTAGAATCGGTCGATGCACAGAGCTTGTGCAGGCAAAATGTGTACAAGTGTACAATATATGCAGGGGGGAGGCCCTCAGCGCAGAGGCATGAAGGCGTGAACCTCGGGACACATGGCCACATGGCCGCGGCACAAGCCCCCCCCACACTCGCTTGCAACCAACCTCAGACAAGGCTGCAGACCGAAACCTAAGTCCAACTGAACTCCGGATTTCTGTGCCTGATATTTTATGGGAGATATACCTGAAAGCCTAAAAAGAAACCTTTTGACTGATTCGAGCGGTGCCCTCATGCACATCCTCCACAGTCCCGGTGCTGAGCCCTTGCTTTCTGGATATCTCCCAGGCATTCCCCGCAACTCTCTCTTGGATGCTGTTGTGAAAGCCCTGCACACATGTCCAGGACATGCAAGTTTAATTGCTTCGGACCGGAACACGAAGCGCATAAACAAGCATAAACAAGTAACAAGACAAATTCGGGGGCAAAACAGAAATCTCGCAGGCGTTGCTTCGAGCTTTCGTTCATGCTGCCGGACTGGAGCCGTTTTTTCCAACTTCCGGGCCAGGTAGGTAACCCCGGGCTGCACGTTCGCGGTCTGAATGGAACCGCACTGCCTGGAAGCTTCAACTGCCGTTTTGCAGAAGGCTCACTGAACCTACTTCATCCTTTGTTTTTCAAACTCGGGAGATGCTGCCTTCTCACTTTCAAGCCTCAATAACTACTACAAACGGCTCCAAAAGCACAGGGGACATAACTTACTGGCCGAGAGCTTCTTGAGAACCGGAGGTTATTCCGCGGAAATCCTCGAGCACCGAAATGTTCAACTGCAAAACAGAACAAAACCTGATAGAGGCCGCGAACCACAGTGCCAGCACGTGTCACATACTCGGCGAACAGATGAGTCGCGCAAGATGGAGTGAAGTGCCGTATCTCTTTCTCTTTCCCTTTATCTCTCTCTCTCTCTCTCTCTCTCTCTCTCTCTCTTGCTAATTACGTCTCCTCTCTCTCTTCTCTTATCGCTCTCTCACTGTCTCCCTCTGGCCTCATCCTCGAAGCACTTTGAAAGAACCAAAGCAGCAAACGATGCCAAAAACACTGGGTTTCCGAAACTACAGCTCGATCCGAGCCACCCTAAACCCTAAACCCTAAACCCTAAATCCTACACCCTAAACCCTAAACCCTCTAAGTCCCTAAGTCACTGCTGAACGCATGCGTACGCTTTCGGACACAAAAAGGCGCACGATGTCGCAGCTGCGTAAACTCCTGGACTCCTGGACCCCTTTTGAACCCTTAGGGTTTAGGGTTTAGGGTTTGGGGTTTAGGGTTAGTTTAGGGTTTAGGGTTTAGGGTTTAGGGGTTAGGGTTTAGGGTTTAGGGTTTAGGGTTAGTTTAGGGTTTAGGGTTCCCCCAACTCGTAAAACGGGAAACATTCTGCTACGCTTTCGGAGGGTTTAGGGTTTAGGGTTCACGGGGCAACACACTCCCTGACTCCCACCACGCCTTTCGTCATCCTGCAAATTCTGTTCGCACCCTTTCTGCACCTTCATTTCAGGCTTGGAACAGACTTGGCAGCCCATCCCATAAGCTGAATCTGAATCATCTCGCCCACTGTGTGCGACGATGCTTGAGGCGAGACTTTCCTGTATAATCATTCTTGCAAATGAAGGGGATGAATGCGCGAATATAATCATTAGTGGTGCTTGAACGAAACGTGAACTACGAAATGAATGAAGGTGAAGTGAATAAACGAGACAAAAGACAAGTGAACGACGAGAACGCGTGCTTTTGTTACGAGCGCAAGAACGAAACGAGAATTACCACGAAGAGAACGAACTTAGTAAAGTTGTAAGGAAGAAAGAAGTGATGACGCATGAACTTCATTAGAGGCGTGAACGAAGTCTTTTAATCTGAAAAAAATACTGTATTTTGATGCGTCTTTCCCTCTCATCTTATTACTGGGGGCTTTTGCACAATCATTTCGTTAACATTTTTATAAGCTCCCACAATATTAAATGATTGGTATTTTATACAATAAAAATAAGCTTGTGAGTAAACGAAAGGGGGGTTTCGTTCACGTAATCGCGACAAAGGGCAGCCTCACGGCAGCACACCCCCTGACACGGACAAACCCCTCTCTCAGTGCACTCTCCACCTCTTGAGCCTGTCCCCGTCCATGAGCTTTGTAAGCCTCAAAGTCCCATCGCTCAAGAGTCTCAATTGGCTCACCCTCAGAGAAGATTCGTTGGGAAGCACGGTGGAAATGCGTGATGCCTTGCTGGGGTAGTTCTCCTTGCACTGCTTCACCATGCCACAAAAACACACAGAGATTCGGACGGAAAGACACCACAAGATGCAACCACCGTGCGCGCACGCGCGCCTCGCGCAATTGAGATGCTTTAAAGCTGCTTATAGCAATCAGAACTCCAACGCATTCTCAGGCAACAGCACAGGTGCTTGCTTGAGGCCCGACTCGAGCCAAACCTGTCTCGCTTTTCAAGAGCATCGGCGCATGTCATGGCTGTGTCATAACAGCTCCTTTGCATGTGCCTGACTCATCCCTGACTCATCCCTGACTCATCCCTGACTCAGCCCTGAGCAGGTCTCTCCCAGAAGAGTTGGACGAGCTACCCAAGGAAGAGAGCATCCTGGCCTCGTTCTCAGGATGGCAAAATCTTGGGGGACAGGCGGATTTACGGAACATCCACACAGGGCGGCCTTGCTTTTTCCCTGAAATGCCAAGTTGAAAGCTACCAGTTGCAGCGGGAATTTGGGGGAAGCAAGACGGCATCCCCTTTTGGGGACCCATCCTGCGACAAAAGTGCGAGGACTGCCCCGGAAGGATCATTATGGCAGGGGAATTACCACCCAGGCCGCCGTAATAAAGCCTTCAGACCGAGGCCTAGGAGGAAGTTGCACACTACAAGAACCATCGTGCAGCCTGCAAAAATTCCTGCGCGCCGCAGCGCG